TGTCTAATCACTTTTCTCTGTTTTGTGTCTGTCCACATTCAGTTCTAACAGCTACTGTACAGATGGGCACTACTGGGAGGAGGGAGTGATTGTGAATGTGAATGGTTAGTGAAACTGATCACTCCTACAGGGAGCTAGAAATACACGTCCTGTGAGGTCGTGTCATTTAAGTGCATGAAGGCTGGGATGTTGAATTCATCCCTTTGAACTTTATCCTCACACAGTGTCCATCGATACCTCAAACTGTATAGCACTTTGTTTGAGTCAGACAGGCCCAGACAATGAGGCTTCTATGACTCCCTTTGAGGGAGCAGATTAAAGAATATTGTCAGTTTTTTTTTAAATACCTTTTGGGGTAATTTATATACTATAAGATTCACCTATTTTGTCTCAGTAGATTTTGTAGCATTTAATCTAATAAGCTCTTCTTTTTTCTCTTCTTTTTATAATTGACTTGTAAATTTAGCGGCCACTAGTCAAATTACTATCCAGTAGAGAGAAGAAGTCACAGCCTGCATATTATTTTTGGCACGTATATGCTTAATTCTGCCTGATTTTAGAGGAAAATGACAGGGCTTTATTGGTCTATGAAAGCTGATGTATTACAATTGGGTGGTGTGACCCTAGGACTTCACTTAATTTTGGCTTTAAAACTTAAATTTGTGGATTTTTCAGGTTAGAACTTATTACCTGAGATAAGTGAAGCTGGTTTGACTTCAAAATTTTTGCTCTTTTGCAGGGTGTGAGGAGTGTAATAATGCACATTCTTCAGTGTGCCCAAAGCATGGCCCCTTGCACCCTATCCCCAACCGGCGGTGCTCACCAGAGCCAGAGCCAGCCTCCCTCTGGTCCTCTACATTGACAGGTTTTGGGGGGCGTGTTCTCCAAAAGACGCATTCCCAAACGCACCCAGTTTGGTCCTGTGGAGGGACCCCTCGTCAGAGAGTCCGAGCTGAAAGACTGTTATATTCATCTAAAGGTAATTTATGATTTATCATAGTTCATACTTGTTCTTAGTGGTTTTAAAGGAAAACACATTTTCCTACTGAGTTTCTTGATTCAATTTCGTGCACCTTGTTTGGTAATATTATTCTTTCTCTGCTTAATTTGTTTTAAGTGAAAACTTTTTTTCTCCTACCAATGAAATGGAGATCACCTGAAACTGTAGTTTCAGGGCATTGCCCCAGGGCATTAGATGATTAATTCTAGCGTAAAAATGGTGTAGTTGTCAGGGACTGTATTAGTTTGTCAGGGCTGCCAAAACAAATTATCAAAGACTTGGTAGCTTAAACATCAGACATTTATTTTCTCACAATCTGGAGGCCGGAAGGTCAAGATAAGGGTCTGGGCAGGGGATAGTTTCCTCTGAGACCTCTTGCCTTGCCTTGCAGATGGCTGCTTTCTTGCTGCCTTTGCATGTGGTCATCCTTTGCTGCAAAGTTGCCCCTGGTGTCTTGTTTTCCTAACCTCCTCTTGTTAGGACGCCAGTCAGATTGGATTAGGACCCACTCTCATGAACTTGTGTTAACTTAATCACCTCTTTTGAAAATCCCTGCCTCCAATGCAGTCACATTTTCAACTTTGAGGGTGTTAGGGCTTCACCATATGAATGTGAGCTACACAATTCAGCACTTAGGCTGTGTTAAAAAACAAACAAACAAAAGATTTGACTGGAACATAAGGAAACTTATGTAGACTCATGTCATCTGCTAAATGCCAGTGCTGCTTTCAGGAAACACCTTTTAATTTTGAAACAGCTCTCTCCTGTTGACTCTTGTTAATGAGCAGTTCACTGTATGGTTAATGTTCATACTGATATCTTTTCCTTACTTTTGGTGCTTTTGCTCTTTCCAACCTGCTTTGCTTTTTTAAAAATTGCCTGCTTCTTGAAGAACCACTCTGGAATACCAGGAAGGGACAGAAGGAAGGGAAACTATTTGGGGTTTGTTTTTTTGAGAAATCAGCTGCTGTTATGGGGGATTTTCTTTGGTGAATGCTCAAGATCTCCAAGAAAGAATATACTTTGTAAAAAGAAATACCTGTCACCAGCTTATACATTATAAATAAATGCAGTTGAATCCCAAAAGAAGTGAGTTTAATGAAATGGAGAGTATTTTGCTTGCATTTTCTGTTTTATTTGCAGATTAAAAAATATGTTAGGTAATAATGAAACATCAACTGAAACTATAATCAGGTTGCTAGGTTTTGCCAGGTAATTCTCCTACAGGTGAGTCTTTTATAAGTATCCTTTTCCTTGATATTGAACACGATGTAATTTCAGTATCTTTTTAGATACAAAGGGAAGAATCAGGATATATGGGTAATTTAAGGAGCAGTATTTCCTGTGTTATGACATCAGATGTGGGGTGTATGTGTGTGTGTGTGTGTGTGTGTGTGTGTGTGTGTGTGTATGACTTTTTACTTTCTCTTTGCTGCAGGTTTCTCTTGATAAAGGAGACAGAAAAGACAGGGACTTGCATGAAGACCTGTGGTTTGAGTTGTCTGATGAGACTCTTTGTAACTGGATGATGTTCGTACGTCCAGCCCAGAATCACCTGGAGCAGAACCTGGTGGCTTACCCATATGGCCACCATGTATATTACACAACGATAAAGAATGTGGAACCCAAGCAAGAACTGAAGGTACAGAGCTGGGGTTAGGGTGCCTTTGCTAGGAATAGTGATTGTTAATGCTTTTCTTAGTCTTTTTACCCCTAGAAGGGATTCTTACAAAAATGGCCTTTTCCTTATATTTTTACTTACTTTTTGAGTGGATATATCTGGGCATCTATAGTAATCCCATAAACAAGCTAGCTGATATTTGGGTCTACCAGAGTTCCACACGAAGACCTATGACTATAAGTAAGGAATAGTTTCTTTGGGGAGCAGTACTTTTGATGGAGTGATGGAAGATGGGGTGATTTAACATCATTGACACTAACGAAAAAATTAGTTGGGAAACAGGTGATCTTGTGAAAGTGGAATTCTAATGTATGGGCAAGATTTCCTTGTTTTATCAGAATGTTTCATTTTACCTAAAGAATATGCATTGAATTCTGATTTCAGGGATCTATTCTTCAGAGATAACTATCTGTCGAAATGTGTCTAAATATTAAGTCTTGGGCCTCCCGGTGGCGCAGCAGTTGAGCGCTGGGTGCGAAGCTGCCTGTAGCCTCTGCAGCGCCAGTTCAATTCCCGCCACCGGTGAGGGTCCCACATGGCGCGCAGACCTCTCCTGCCGCCCGCTGCTCCCCTCAGCAGTGTACTTTGTCCATCTGCCTTCTGCTCTCCCCTCTGGCTCTGGTGAATTCTCTCACCCTTCCGCGCTTCTGACTGTACCCAGTACTTGCATAAATAAATAAATAAATAAATCTTTAAAAAAATAAATGTAGCCCTAAGCCTTAAAAAAAAAAAAAAATTAAGTCTTGATGTCATAATAAAAATTCTGCTATGATTCTGCTGTGATAGGAAATGGCCAAAAGAGGGGTCAGAGGACTCTGTATGTTCCTGATAGAAGTGACAAGTAGGTGACGATGGTCCTGTCAGCACGGCAGCACTGCATTGCTTGCTGCCTCAGTAAAAGTGAGAAGAAGAGAGCTCTTCACGAGGAGAAAACACCTAGACTTTGTTCCAAATCTGCACAAAACCCACATCTTTTAATCATCAACTATATAACCCATAAATCCAAGTGAAAATGTGTAAAAATAGATTTTCACACCACCTAGCCCAGTAAATTCTTAATAAGAAAAAACTAGAGTACTTCTTAATGGTGGAAGATTATTGTATCTTTTTCTAATTAAAAAATTTTTTAAAATTTATTTTTGCATAGAAGAACTGGGGTGTAGGCCAGAGGTACAGGGGCTGAGAGGATTCAAAGAGACAGAATGGGGAGCAGAACAGTGAATTTGCTGAAATCCACTGCTAAGGGAGCAGCAGGCCAGACAGAGAGTGTGCTGCACATGTGGGTTAGCTTCCTGGCCAGGATCAAACTAGGCCATCACAGTGATAACTCTGAGACTTAACCCCAAGCACCAGGGAGGCCCAGGTCATCTTATCCTTAAAGCAGTAAGTAGACCTGTAGAGGGAAAGACAGACAGGAACAATTAAATAAAAATCTAATATTTCAGCATAATGAACAAGTGAAACAACAGATAAAAAGGAAGCAACAGAATCATTGTAATACACATTTTAAAGTTGAAATATAAAGACAGAATTTGTACACTGCTATCCTCATTAAATCCTAGGGTCAGGTGGACAAATGCCAGGAGTAGACTTTATTTGGAGGAAGATAATAATAAGAAATGTTAAAAAATTTGTTTTAGCATTGATAATTTTAAAAACCCTTAAAATAGCTGTGATTGCTATTTTTGTTAAATTAGCAAAAATAAATGGATATAGTACAATGAATGTGAGAGTTTAACAAAAACATTCAGTACAGAATTACAAAATTTTGCAGACTATTTTTGGCAACTTACAGCAAAAATATTCTTGGCTGAGTAAGCCAATCCTTGAAACCCAGTCCTCCTTGAAAGTTAGTCTAAGGAAACAATTATAAACAACGATAGGGCTTAGACATGTTAGATTTTGTAATACCATATTTTTAACTTATTTTTTTAGTCTTTTTAAATTTTCCAGTTTTTATTCTCTTCTTTTTACTGTTGGCAATCTTAATGAGAATTCCTGCTGGGTGATCACATCAGCTTTGAATTACTTTGAAATATATTCTATTTATTCTGAGGAAGATGGCAGTTTCCCTCCCTGCCCCCTCATTATGTTGCTTGACAAGTGTTAACAACCATGGGGTGTCAATAGGGGGCAGAACTGAATGAAGTGAGAATAGTACAAAAGGCTTGCACAAGTGGGTGCAGGAACAATGAGGAAGCAGTTAGAAGTGCATTATGGGCCTCCCTGGTGGCGCAATGGGTTAAGACACAACCTATGAAGCTATCCGCAGCCACTGCGGATGAGTTCAATCCCCGGCCAGGGAGCCACCGTATGGGCAGCAGACCTCTCCTGTCTCGCCTGCTGCTCCCCTCAGCTGTGTATTTCAATCACTCTTCCTGTTCTGTTCCCCACTCTGGTGAATTCTCTTACTCCCCCACACCTCTGGCCTGTACCACAGTTCTTGTATGCATAAATAAATAATCCTTAAAAAGAAAAAGAAGTACATTATGGCAGTGACTAGAATGCTCTGGGTTGTGAGACCCATTCTGATTTCTGAAATGTGAAAATATGAAATAGACACATATTGGAAATATGGAATTGAGTAGAATTTATATTTGCAAGATGATAAAAATCCAACCAACAGGATTGTGATTAAGTAAATTACAGAATGTAGATGCCATAGAAATTATTCCATAGTTAAAAATAAATGTTTTCAATATAAATATTTCCAATGTAAATCTATATTTCCATATCGTTAATGTTCCATAACAGTTATGTATGATTAATTCACTTAGTGATTAATGTGTTGAACTCCTACAGTTACTAGGAAAAGTGAGATTGGTTTCCCTATGTTTAGAGAATTTATATTGTAGAAGGGAGATGGGTGGAAAGATGTAAATGCAAATATTGAATGTCGTAAATGCTACAAAGGAAATGTAAAAGGAAATAACAGGAAAAGGGGCCAATTTGGGTGTGATGGATAGGGAAGGCCTTGCAGAAGATACATCTTTAGGCTGAGAACTGTGGAATAAAGGGGTCAGTGATGTAGATGGGTGAGGGGGGGGTGAAGATGAAGAACCCATCTTTCCCACTGGTGAAACAGCAAGGGCAGAGATTGAGGTGGGAAAGAACTTGGCATACTGCCAGCTGGGCCTTTTGGCTGAAGGGCAGGCAAGGGAGTGTGGTAAGAGCTTAATTGCTTAGGGAGGTAGGGGCAGATCACGGAACCCTTTGGAGACCATCCTGGAGCACTTCAGGTTATCATAAAATGAAAACTGTTGCTGCCTTTTAAGCTAGGGAATGACGAAATCTGATTGTGTTTTTTTTTTTTTATAGAGGCATTTTATTTATTTATTTGTTCGTTTGTTTCGTTTATACATGCACTGGGTACAGTCAGAAGCGCAGGAGGGTGAGAGAATTCACCAGAGCCAGAGCGGGGAGCAGAGCAGCAGAAGGACCGAAGTACACGGCTAAGGGAGCAGCGGGCGGCAGGAGAGGTCTGCGCACCATGTGGGGCCCTCCTCTGGTGGCCGGGGAGCAGCCGGGAATCAACCGGCGCTGCAGAGGCTGCGGGCAGCTTCGCAACCAGCGCTCAACCGCTGCGCCACCAGGGAGCCCCTGATTGTGTTTTAATAAGACCACTCTGGGTTGGCAGAGGCAAGAGTGTAAAAAAGGTCTTGTTAGCAGGTCAGGTAGAACTCCAGGCACCTGCTCATCTTGGCACGCATCCAGGTGAGAGAAGTAGAGATGGAGAACATCTGAGCAATCAGTAGTTCTTGCTGAAGGATTATGGAAGAAAACTGGGAAATCAAGATACCCTTGAGGTTTCAAGTCTGAGCAATTGGGTGGAAGTAAGGTGTTCATTGAGATGGCTAGGAGAGGCAGGGGTGTGATAAGGGAAAGGTCTAGAATTCAGTTCTGGATATTTGAGCAATTTGTAAAACATTCAAAATATCAGGTAAGCGGAAGCAGGTACATAGAGGGAATAGAGAGGAAGGAGGGTCTGGGATGGAGGGTCTTGGGAGCCTTTAGCACAGAGTTGGTTGGAAATGGGTGGAGTTAAAATAAGGAAAAATAAGAATGCTCTGGACTAGGACTAACCTTTGAAGACCACCAAAATTTAGAATCAGGGAGAGGAAAAAGAGCCAGACGAGTCAGTCACTGGGCTAGGAGGAAGACACTCAGCAGGTGGTGGCAGCATTTGACATACTTGGTGATCCTAGTGAAAGTTATTTGGTGGCATGTGGTGTGGAAGCCACTGGGATTATAGCTGTGTAAAAACCTCTGTTGAAATACAGATTAAAAAAAAAAAAACCAGAAGAGGCTGTTTTATTTAGATGAAGAGACTATAAATGTAATCTCTTGTGGAGTTGTTCTAATAACAAAAACTTTTTTTTAAAGGAAAAATCATGCTGTGTTTCTTGGCAAATGAATTTCATGACTGGCCATCAGCAAACTGATGTTAAAGGGGTCAGTTCACACTGTGGGGTGTTTTTTTGTTGTTTGTTTTTTTGTGGGGAGTGGAAAAGCCTGAATTGTTTTTGTAAGCAGGATAAAGAATTTAAGCATGCTAGGAACACCTGGTGCATCCTGTAGTTCTTGATGATCTGTTTGGTTCTTGCAGGTTTGGTACGCTGCATCCTATGCTGAGTTTGTGAACCAGAAAATTCATGACATTTCTGAGGAAGAAAGGAAAGGTGGTTGACTTTTTAAAGATTTTATGTTTTCTATATGAATTCTAAATTGCATGTATTCAATATGTAACCTCTAATTCTTCCATCTCAATGTATTTAAGAGGCTTTTCCAGTAGGTTTTTTAGAGCTGCACATCTCTGTCAAATTCTAGGATCAAATGACAATGACATATATTTACATTTCTTCCCTGAGTACAGGAAAATAGCACTTAATTTAATGAAAACCTCCAAATGCTAAATTAGAACCTGGATTAGAGGATGATCCTATCTGGTTGTGATCGCTGAGGACATAGCAAGGCAGGCAGGCGTTGACAGTCTTTGATGGAAATGTTATCTAAGTGTAATCTGCTTACAGAATTATCAGAGCAAGTGTCAATAGCCTGAATATTCAGAGTGGACATACCTGTGGAACCTGCACCCAGATCAAGATACAGAGCATGACTAGTGCCCCAGAGTCTCTTGTGCCACTTCTGACTCCCTCTTACTCCCAAGTATGACTTGGCTCCTGACTTCTAAGACCACAGATATGAGATGCTTGTTACTGACAATTATATCAATAGAATTATATATGTACACTTTTAGTGTGTGGGCATATTTTGCTCAACATTATGTATGTGAGATTCATCCCTTGTTCATTCTCACTGCTGTTGGGTGTTCTGTTGTGTGAATGCACCACAGTTCATGTACTGTAGCTGAAAATTTGGGTTGTACAGTGCAATGCTCACCCTAACCCCCTGGAGCTAGGTCGCAGTCTACAGGTTAAGGGCAGTCACCAGCGTCAAGCTCTGGAGTTCCCATACTTCCTGCACTTTGACAAGCTAGTTACAATTTAAGGAGTCCCCTTACCCTTTTGTTTGATAATTCTCGAGGTGACTCACAGACCTCAGAAAAGTGTTGTACTTACCATTACAGTTTTATTTAAAGGATACACATGAGGGCCAGCCAAATGAAGAGACTCACTGAAGGCAAGATTTGGGAGGTCCATAGATGGTGTCACCTCTTTGGCACACTGATGTAAGATTACCAGTCAGGAAAGCTCATCTGAGCTTCAGTGCCCAGAGGCTTTATTGTGGCACCATTACTTGGGCATGACCAATGGACTCATTGGCCCTGTGATGGCACTTACCCTACAGCTTCTGCTCCCCTTCCTGAGTGATATCACCTGGCTCAAAGCCCCAATCCTGCAGTCATTGGTTGGGTTTCTTACGCAGACAACTCCCATCCAGAGTCCTCTCATTAGCCTAAACTCAGGTCTGGTCAGAGACCACCATAAATGGTTAAAGACACTCTTATCACTTGGGAAATTCCAAAGATTTAGAGGTTATCTCCCAGGAACCAGGGACAAGACCCAGCCCAATCTATTATTTGACAGGGTTGTTTCTAGATTTTGGATATTATGAAGAATGCCACTGTGAACATTCTTACACATGCCTTTAGTGAACCTATGTGCATGTTTTGGTGGGACTCAGAGTTGGAGTTGAGTTGTTGGGTCACAGGCTATGCATACAGTCAGCTTTAATAAACCGCTGGACATTTTGTTAAAGTGATTGTATTGGGCATTGATTTTTCAAGTTGTTAGTGATAAAATGCACCTCAGATTATGATTATTATTGGATCTGTATTAGTATTTATCTGAATACAAATTTCCATGGTAGTATTTTTTGTCTTTCCAATGTGGAGAGGTTGTATGCTGGGGGGTGTGTGTGTGTATGTGTGTGTGTTGGGTGGGAGAGAGTAGTATAATAGTACAAGGGTATTTGTTCCTTTGATGTCATACATGAATATGTAAGAAAATAAGATTCTAATTACCACCTTTCTGTCAAACGTTTGCCTTTGCTTTTGTAACAAAGTAACAATGTAGATGGCAGCTGCTATATATTTATAAACATAATGAGATGAGAATGGTGGGAATACTGGGCATTTGAGTCTTATTGGTGTTTATTGATCATCAGCCTTTGTGATTTCTCTCCTGTGACTATAGTTCTTCGAGAGCAAGAGAAGAATTGGCCCTGTTACGAATGTAACCGCCGATTTGTAAGCTCAGAGCAATTGCAACAGCATCTCAATACTCATGATGAGAAACTGGATGTGTTTAGCAGGTATGAGGAGGGGGATAATTTCACAAGTTTATTTTTTAAAAGTCCAGAGTTATTTCTGAACGGTCTATAAGGTAGTGAGCATTGGGGTGTGTGTGTGTGTGTGTGTGTGTGTGTGTGTGTGTGTGTGTGTGTGTGTAGTAGTAGTAGTAGTAGGTAGGTAGGTAACCAGAGAGGTTATCTATTACTCCCTGGTCCTCTTCTTCAGCATTATCATTATGAATGGGAGATCCTTTCACCTTAGTTAAATATCCCTTATCTAGAGATTTTGAAAGAGGAATTCTTGAGATAGCAAACGACTTCGAAATAATTTACATTTTTGATTTCCAATTTTTTTTCAGTAATAGAACTCATTTATCAAGCTAAATTCTGTGTTTATTTTCACTATATAACAAAGATAGATGAAGAAGACTCATTCAGGAATGGGGGCGGCAGGAACTAGGTCAGGTAGGGCCTTATGTGTGAAGGTAGGATTTTATCTTAAGTAGGATGAGAAGTCTTTCAAGGGTTTTGATCAGGGAGTATTGTGAATCATCACTCTGGGTAAAAATAAAATATCACATTAGCTAATATTGGAGCAAGAATGAAGACAGGGAGTCCAGTTCGAAGCTATTTCAACAGTTTAGGTGAAGAATGACAGTGGCTTGCAATAGGGTAGTAGAAATGGGACATGTGTACATTTGTCAACTTTTATAGGATGTGAAAGAGGTGGTGGTGAGAAGTATCATTTAGGGAGGCAGGAAAACAGATGTTCTAGAGGAGCACTGTACAGTTGCCTGCAACATGAAGAGCTCACTTGAGGTTCATGGTCATGAGATTAGAGCCAAACCACCAGCATGGCTGTGTGCCATTTTCCAGCTGCATTCATTGCACCACAATTCTATTAAAAGAAATTGGAGACAATTAGGAAAATTTGAACTTTGACTAGATTTAACACTACTAAGTGGATAGCAGTTTTTTTAAGGTATGATAATGGTGTTGAGGAGTATGCGTGTGGTGGTAGTGGCGGGGGGGGGTCATAAGAATATAGAGGGAACAAACTTGACCATGAGTTAGTAAATGTTGAAATTGGCTTCATTATGTTATTCTCTACATTTGCTTGGGTTCAGGATTTTCCACAATTAGAATCTTTTAAAAGTTCCTGGGGAAAAAACCCATAACTTTTGTTTAATGCCTAAATAGGTGAGTGGAAAAATAAAGTATGATCTGATTAAAGTATACTCATCTCACACACACATCTTCTAAAAGAGGTTTTAATGACATACTTTCTGAATTCTTTTTACTAAGGAATTTTTGATTATTAGAAGTCCAGGCAAAGGAACTGACATTTATTTGGTGTTTACTAGATATGTTGTGGAATAATTGAATTAGAAATTTGTTCAGACTTTCCAGAAGCTTCTAGTAAAACAAGAAAGTGCTGTTGAATCTAGCCATATTTCTAAAAAGGAATATGAGGTGAGGCAAGGGGAAGGAGGAAAGATTGGGATCTTGTCTCTCAGAACACATGCCAGAGCTTAGCGTGTTCTGTCCTGTCTGCATTTCTCATGTCATTTCAGAGATGTGTTTATGCTTTAGAATTCTTGGTAGCAAATGGCATCATGCTTTGAATTTCAAAAGCTCCTCATCTTTTTTAAAAAACATTTTAATATTTGAGATATCTAGAGGGGAATGGTGAGAAATTTAGAAAGCATGTATTAGCAAAACAGTTCTATTAGAGAAATGAATTGGGTAAAGTAATACAGTGAGAGAAAATCAAGATTTCAGGATCACTTAGGGCAATATTTGTTACAGAGTATTATGCAACCATGACCATTATTTATAACCCAAATCTCTTGTCCCCAGAGCAAGAGGCCGAGGAAGGGGACGAGGCAAGAGGCGATTTGGCCCAGGTCGAAGGCCAGGGCGTCCCCCCAAATTTATCCGCTTGGAAATAACCAGTGAAAATGGGGAAAAGTGTGATGATGGGACACAGGTACTGGGGGATGGGAAGGAGCTACTGGTTAGATGTTTGCTTGGAGAACTTAACAGAACTATTGCTAGACTTAAATACAAACACTTGTCATGTCGGTGATTTGCCATCTGTTAACTAAAGTATGATTAGAGAAAGACAATATATTTTCAAATATCAACAAGAGCTCAGTTTTGTTGACTTAAAATTTTTTTAAATTTTTCAGCGATATTATTGGGGAAATCTTGAATAATTTTAAACAATGAAAATGATATCATTCCAGAATATTCTTAGTCCTGTCACAGTTTTTTCCTCATGAAGTGATCTGGACTATCTCATAATATGTACATTCTGAGGATGGCTACCTCATTAACTTTCCTAGCAGGAGAGTATTTTTTTCTGAGAACTCTGACTCTCATCATTTAAATAAATAAGCAGCAATTCTGAATCTTAGCTGACATTCCTTCTAGCACTAATCTCTGTCTAGCTAGGGAAATAATTCCTGATGATTGCCATTTTAGGACTTGCTACATTTTTCCACCAAGGAGCAGTTTGATGAGACTGAACCCGCTACTCTGAATGGGCTGGATCAACCGGAACAAACCACCCTCCCAATCCCTCAGCTGCCACAGGAGACCTCGTCTTCTCTGGAGCAGGAGCCAGAAACTCACAGCCTGCATCTGCAGCCACAGCATGAGGAGAGCGTGCTGCCCACACAGAGCACCCTGACTGCCGACGACATGCGCAGGGCCAAACGCATCCGAGTAAGTAGGTGGCAGGGCCCCTTCTCCGTAGGTGCTGGCCTTCCTCCAGTCAGACAGCTTCCTGGGTGCTGTGTTTCCAGTCTACTCACTCTCCACTTGGACATCCTGCATCTAGCCTACCATAGGCTCCTTGTCTCGGAAGAAAGTACTAACGATTTCTCAGTGCCTGTGAGGCAGGCTGGAATGACTGGTCCAGATTTGATCAGTTTGTTTATGACACAGAAGTCTGGCTTTGGGCAGTTCGTGGGCTAGTATTGTTCAAGTAGGATAGCTCTCTGGTACTCTGAACTTACACATGGGAAAAGGAGAAATTAGTACATTTAATTATAACAATTTACATGTTAGGCCCGGCTAACCTGTGCCTAATGATAGCTGTCAGGTTAATTCTGGGTATCTGAATTTGGTTATCTACAGTTTCCAAGAGGAGACTGGTCAGTGTCGTTACTCATCAGTGCAAAGGGATCTGTGTCCAGGTTGATGTCTCAGGTACTCTCTAAGTACCTGGGGGCGGCTGCAAGTTGAGAGCTAGGTTTGGGGGGGTCAGTCAGGATCTTGTGTGTGACCTGCATCTTGACCACAGGCTGTGTGGCTGCGGGGCCTCCCCGGCTTCTAGGGCAGATGTGCTTTATTTCTGTGTCATAGATAGCAGTTGAGTCTGAGTTAGGAGCTCAGGGGATGCACGTAGGGAACAGTGTGCTTTGTGGGCTGAGGGCCTGTGTTGACAATTTACATCCAGAAGACAATTTCTTGAAACCCACATCAGAGGCAGCAGGACATATAAAGACTTTTATTCTGTTAGCATGTTATGTGTAGGTGGAAGAGATGTTTTGTTTAACTTCCCAGGTTTTACAATTTCTAAATGGATGATTGATTTAGTGTAGGTTTCTTTTGATCTTATTTGCCTATAGGCTAGAAGGGACCTTGAAAAATAGTCCGTGCCTTCATGTTAAAATACATTGAAACATTTATAGTCACAAGATAGCATTGGAGGGCAAAAAACTCTGAGGCTGAATCTCCGTTATGAGTGAGGGTCCTGTGATGGAAATATAAAAATGTTGACTCTATTTATATTACTTCAAAAGCATGTATATACACACCTACATCTAAACCAGAAAGGCAAACAACTAAAAATAAAGACCTTCCTGCTCATCATTCTACATTATTTCCCAGCCCGCATTTCATTCTCTCGCTCAAGTACTATCCTTTCTGCTTTGAACATTCTGACCCTTCACTTAGTCCAGAGAAATGCCTCCTAAATTTAATTTTTTTTTTTAAGGAAGACACTGAAGTTCACACAGGTAGTACAGATATGGATGGACCAGCATGGTCTGTCCCTGTACTTGTTGCTTCCCTGGTTTTGGTTCCTGTGTCAAGGCAGAAGCCACCTGTCATGGTTTTTGGAGGTCAGACATAGTTGAGCTCTTTCCCTCTTCCTCCTCACACATTCTAAAAAGTAGGGCTATGTATTTTCCATCTTTTCTATCCAGATTGGTAATGACCAACTGAAGGGAAGTCTTCCAATCCACTTGGTAATGTAACTGTTTTTCTCTCCTCTAATGCTGCCTGCTCAGTTGGAGCTGCAGGTAGGTTTGTTTCCTGTGTTTCACATAACAGAACGTTATTTAAGTGTTTGCCTGACCTGCTGTTCTTTGCAACCTGTACTTACTAAACCCTGGTGGAAACGACAATCTGGTTGCTACAGTAAATGCAAATTAGTTAATGAATAACCATCATTTATTTTCAGATAGACCAGTGAGTAAATTGTGGACTGCAGAGTCCTCACACACAAAATGAAGGGCAGGACTAAGTGATCTCCAAGGTCCCTTCCAGCTGTAAAACGAGTGGAGTGATTCATGGATTGGTATTGATTCCTAAGTATGTGTTTGGCACTGTGCTAGGTTCACAGTATCATTTTCAGTTGAGTGCTGTCCTCTAGGAGCTTACATTCTAATTAGGGAGGTAATGCTAATGTAAGATGGTTTATATTTAGATGCTAAATTTAAACGTTGAGCCTATAATTGCAATAGAAAATTGGAAGAATGAAAGGCAAAGAAAGATGGAGTCGGAATAATTCAGAGATGAAGTGAGACTTAAACTGTCCTTGAAAGAGAGGCAGGAAGAAGGCACATCATTTCAGAGAAGGACAGTCATGGGATCACAGGCCAGGACACAGGCACGTGCTTGGCATGGGTGAGGGACAGTGCACATACTAGTTTGGCCCCAGCATGGGGTGCCTAGTGAAGGACAGTGGAGAGTGAGTACGTTGGGCAGGGCTGACCCACCAAGGACTTTGAAATCTGGGCAGAAAACAGGTGAGAGTAAAGTTGCATAAAAGAAAGAAAAGCCAACAAGCTAACATGATTGATTTCCTTTCAGTGTCAAGATCAAAATAGGATGAACGTTGATCAATAATCTAGGTATTAATATCAAACTTTGGAAACATTTTATGGTCATGGTCTGTAAAGAATCTGTTTTCTCAGAATTCACTTCAACATGACCCAAATCCTTCATTACAGATATTAGCAAGTATACCATTTTGGCTTCCTTGGAATAGCTTATATTCCCTGTAGAATCCTATCATTAACTGACTATAGTTCAGGATTCAGAAGTGCCATCGTAGATCTCTTTGTGCTGCCTTCACCATTTTTCATGGTTTCTTCTAGAAATGTGTACCAATTATAGCTCTAAACTACAGAAGCTATCTTAGAGTAGCTTGCAAGTGGGTGGCAGGGTTGGATCCATCTCAGCACTTTCACTCTTGAGTAATATGAGGATTACATTAGGATTATTAGATCAGAGAAATGCAATCTAGTTCTCGAGTACTTAGACAATGTTCAGGGCTCCATGGAAATTAAAAAGATGATAAGGACACAGTTTGTCGATAGAACAAAGAGAGTAGAGCCAGGTGGCTGCTGAGTTGAAATCAAGTGTCTGAGGATACTCATGCTAATCAGAGCTGACAGAAGACTGATTAGCATAATGGACCAAAGTAAAGCGGAGTTCAGGGTTTGGCACTCAAACCTTGAATCCCCAGTAGGACCAAGATCAATTGTTGTGCCTTTTGTCTACCCTTGGAAACTTGACTGAATTTGGATAAAGGAAATGATTCTTACATGCCCAAACCTCAAGATAACATTTGTCACCTTCAATATTTCTGTAAACTTTTAACAAATTGTGAGAGCTTTTATGTAAAGTGTCCAGGTAGAGTGAAAAGAGCAGGTGACCGCTGACCCATGGAATGGAGTGAAAGAAGGCTGTGCGGCTAATTGAGAGGTGCGCTGTTCTTAAAGATCTCTGCAGAGCTATAGCAAAGATCTTGAAATATTTAAAATTTTCTTATGAAATATATTTCATTAATTCTCAGGAATTAATGAGAATTAATTTATTGGACACTTCATATGAGCTAAGCACTTTGTTATGGGATCTAAATACAAAGGAAAATTAAAATGTCACCTTGAAGCAGCCCCAACCTTCCCAGCCCCGGTTGTCTTGAGAAGACAAAAGAATTGTTAAATACCTACTCAAGATAAATGAGTTGGTAAAATATCGCTCCTGATCTTGTGAGAAAAGCCCTGAGAAGGAATTTCTCAATTATATAGCAACTATGTTTAGAATTTTCACTAAATCAAAAATAATTATTTTGCTTTTCCACTAAGTGATTATTTTACATCATGTTTAGTTTAGAAGTTGCTGCTTGTAAATGGTTTGAAATTAAGGATTTAAGCATTGTTCCTTGTGCTTTCATCATTTCACAAATAATGCATTAAGCTTCTCAATTATTCTTAAGTTACTCTCGCTTGTAGTAGTATAAGCACACCCATTCATAGATATATTTTTCAGGAATGTCCACATCATACCTATCTCGAACTTTCCCTTTTATACTTTGAAACTTTGAGGAACTTATAAATGAGTCTTCATTATAGCATAACTAAAATATTGACTCTATGCTCTGTGTCAAGGATGATTATTGATCTGCTCTCAGTAGAGTGTGAGTTGTTTTTCCAGTAATAGTGGTGAATTTGCATGGAGAGGCCATATTCTCTCACTGAGATTCCCTATAACAATTGCATGAATTTAACAGATAGCTAATCAGCACTAGAAATGCAATCTGTGTCTGAAAAAAGGGTAAGATTGACTGGTTTAGACAAGGGGACAAAGTGACAGGCTTAGATTTGTTAGCATGGCCTTCTAACCAGTGTAACGAACTACCGACATTGAGAACTTCTCTGCATTTTCTAAGTAGGAAGTGATTAAACACATTCTATTTATAATGTGTACCCCTGAACAAACTTTCACATAAAACTATGCTCTTAATTTTGCTTTCAGTACTTTTACTTAAATTGAGATAAAATTCAAACAGCATAGAACCCATCCTTAAAGGGTTTAGTCCTAAAGTTGCACAGCTATCACCATTATTTAATTCCAGAACATTTCCATCACCCTAAAAAGAAACCCCATATCCATTGCCTCCTTTCCCCAACTCCTGGCAAGTACTACCCTTCTGTTCTTTTCATGATCTTTTTGGTTTGCTAAATATTGTGTGTGTGTGTGTGTGTGTGTGTGTGTGTATGTATGTGTGTGTGTGTGTAGAAGAACTGGAGTGTAGATTAGAGGTACAGCAGGTGAGAGGATTTACCAGAGACAGAGTGGGGAGCAGAACAGCTGGATTTACTGAAATACACTGCCAAGGGGAGCAGCGGGGTGAGACAGGAGAGGTCTACTGTGACATATGTGGGTTAGTTCCCTGGCTGGGGATTGAACTCAGGCCATAGGTGGTGATAGCACTGAGACTTAACCCCTAGGCCACCAGAGAGGCCCTGTTTGCCAAATGTTTTAGCCAAGCTTCAAATTCTTTCTCAAGTACTTTAGCAAGTCATGTGGAGCTGACTAGCTCCAGGGTCACTCATACATCTGTGACTTGTTGCAAGTCATTTCTTTCAAATTTTCAATTTTTATTCTACTCCACTCTGGGCTTTGCTTGCTTTATTTTTTTTTTTATTTTTATTTTTATTTATTTATTTATTTATACATGCACTGGGTATAGTCAGAAGCGCGGGAGGGTGAGAGAATTCACCAGAGCCAGAGCAGGGAGCAGAGCAGGCAGAAGGACCGAAGTACACTGTGAGGGGAGCAGCGGGCGGCAGGAGAGGTCTGCGCGCCACGTGGGACCCTCCTCCGGTGGCTGGGGAGCAGCCGGAGATCGAACTGGCGCTGCAGAGGCTGCGGACTGCTTCGCAACCCAGCGCTCAACTGCTGTGCCACCGGGGAGGCCTGGCTTTGCTTGCTTTATCATTCAGTCCTTTATTAGGAATATGCTTTTGAATGTTATTTAAATCCTTTCTGAATAAAACAACACTTTTTTTTTTTTAAAGATTTATTTATACAAGCACTGGGTACAGTCAGAAGTGTGGGAGGGTGAGAGAATTCACCAGAGCCAGAGCAGAACAGGCAGACAGATGAAGCACACTGCTGAGGGGAGCAGTGGGTGGCAGAAGAGGTCTGTGCGCCATGTGGGACCCTCGCCTGGTGGCCGGGGATCGAACCAGCGCTGCAGAGGCTACGGGCAGCCTTGCAACCCAGCGCTCAACCGCTGTGCCACCGGGGAGGCCCAACAAAACAACACATATTTAAGTCTTAAAACAAAATACACCAAATGTTTGTTTTTTTCAAGATAGACTTCTTTGGAAATAGCCTCATTTTTAATCTCTTTGCCAGAAAAATCTTCCATGTATGTGTTCCAGAGTTCAATTTCTATGAAAAGTCTTTTTGTATAAATGTGTGAACCACTAAATAATCATACTTGTATCTGTCTTTCAGAATGCAGCTCTTCAGCATCTGTTTATTCGGAAGTCCTTCCGGCCTTTTAAATGTTTGCAGTGTGGAAAGGCCTTCCGTGAAAAGGACAAGCTGGACCAGCACTTGCGCTTCCATGGGCGGGAGGGGAACTGCCCCTTGACCTGCGATCTCTGCAACAAGGGTTTCATCAGTAGCACATCGCTGGAGAACCACATGAAGCTCCATTCTGATCAGAAGACTTACTCTTGCATTTTTTGCCCAGAATCCTTTGACCGCCTTGATTTATTGAAAGATCATGTGGCCATTCATATCAATGATGGCTACTTTACCTGCCCAACTTGCAAGAAACGGTTCCCAGATTTTATCCAGGTAAGTGTCTATCACTGATCATGTAGACTTCCGACTTTTGATAAAGACTCTTCAAATTTTGGAAAAGTGAGACTTCCTCTCCACCCACATGTTCATCTCTTCTTAGAAACAACTTTACTTAAAAAAAATTTTTTTTTGGTCTTCTAATTTTATTTTTTTTAATTTTTTTATTATCCATAATAGTTTTTATTTAAAACATTTTTAATATTAATTTTTTTTTGCATCATTGTTCATTTATAAACAATGTTTGCTTCCCCTCCACCCCTCAGGTGTAGTCCCCATAGAATTTCCTTCCCCAGTGCACCCGTGCACCATCACCTCATTCCCCTGTGCTCCTCCCTCCTTCCCTCTGATCCCTCTCCCTCCTCCTCCCCTGCAGGATGTCTCTGGTTTATAATTGTTTTTGTTTTGTTGTGTTGTGTTTTGTATTGTTGTTATTTTTTCCCCTAATGTCTTATTTGTTTCCCCTACATTCCTCCTTTAAGTGAAACCATCTGATATTTGAAACAACTTTGCTTTTGAGAATATTTCTTTAATCAAACATTTTTGATAAGCAAAAGATTACGGTAACCCTTAATTGTGCAAGTCAGATATGGGCATATAAACATTTAAGTTGCAGTACATGTAAAAAACACCCAGATCTAGTTCTAAATTTTCAAATCTTTCTTAATCCTTGCCAGTATCCACAATTCATAATGTATATAGATCCTGTGGAAGATACATTCCTATTGCCTGGGCTGGAAACTTTTACTCTATGCTACTATAATTTTTGTTCTTGCCTTCGGTCATGCATTTTGGAAGGAAACAAATAGAAAGTTGGTGTATAATATACTTTTGTATCAAGCATTGAATGGCTCCCTTGTACTATATTCTGGAACAAAATGGGCAAGGAAGAATTCCAGAATATTCATGATTTCATTTGGACTTCAAGTGATATTATATACTGGTCAATGAATAAGTAAATTTGAATATTCGGTGAAGATAGAGACTTTGGGGAATGACTCTCTCTTTTTTTTTCTTAAATTACTGAAATAAAAGATTAGGATTCAAACATAGTTTTGCTAGTATTGGGAATCTTGATAATTTTCTCACTTTATACAATTAGAAATGTTGCCTTAAGATGGACTCTAATGGCAAAAGAGATTCCAAAGATAATGGTGCAAAATTCCTTATAGCAATAGTTAGATATAACTCATTACTAAACCACCATCCACAGCTTTTTTATGTTGGATATTTATAACTAAGAGGTTTTTAAGGCCACTTTCCATTCTTTAAGTTATTTAAAAGTACAGTCCCAATTAAAAGTGATGCTAGTGTTCTATTATTCTCATAAATGGGAACCAATTCATGTCTTTAGTTCTTTAAAACCCATTTTTATAGAAAGATGTGAAAGGACCAATTACTTAAAGGGGCTAAATTGCCTCTATACATATTGAGGGCAGGAAAAAGTGAGAAAGAATTATTTTCTGTTTTCCTATGGATAATTTTTGGCTAAATTCTTTTAAATAAATCCAAAGAAGCTCTGCTTTTAATCTTAAAAAAATAAATAAAAAATGGGTTCCATGTGATCAAGGCTCTGACTAAGCACTTCTTCCATCTCCTCAAATCATGTGGGAGGTTAAGATTTCTGAGGCTTCCTGGCTACTCATGTTTCTTCAGAATAGTCCATTTTACTGAGGCCATTTATCACACGTGACTGGATTAAGCCACTGAGTTGATGAAAATCCATGCGAATGTGTTTGGCTCCCTCTAGCGTTGATAGGTTGCTTTACAACATTTCCTTTGGGGCCCAAGAACCCTGTTTTTTTTCTGTCTTTGCTGCCAGGTAAAAAAACACGTACGAAGCTTCCACTCAGAAAAGATCTACCAATGTACAGAGTGTGACAAGGCCTTCTGCCGGCCGGACAAACTGCGGCTCCACATGCTCAGACACTCGGACCGCAAAGATTTCCTGTGTTCCACATGTGGAAAGCAGTTCAAGGTATGTGTCCAGCAAGCAGCCCAAGGTTGCCCTCACAGCCACTGAGATTATGCCAAGCTAAGGATAAATGCTCATTTATCTTCTTCATCTCATCAGTTTATCTTCTATTTACAAAGAATTGGATTTGAGATGCATTTTGTGCCCTATGCTTGATTTAGTTATTATGATATAATTCAGGGAAAAACTTACTTTAATTACCCAAAATAATTAATTCAATTTGTCAAGCAGTGTAAGAATGCATTTCTTAAAAGACTTTAAGTGTCTAATGAGAATAAATTATTATTGAGGGATTCCTCTAAGAATAATACAGTTATTTACCAAATCAAGAGATTTTTATTGAGTACTTATTGAGTACAAGAGCCTGGTAATTGAGCCCTGAAGGACCTCTTGGGGAGGTGGAAAATCCATACAACACTGAAAAGGTTTATACTACTTTGGGGATGTGGGTGACTTCAGGATTAAAATAAAAATAAGTATCAGTAACCTGGCGGAATTTAGAAGCAGCATAGGAAAGTTGAACAAAAAATGTGAAAACAGGAAAATATACTTCACTCGGAAATCCCATGATTTCACAAAAATATCATGGAGAGACACTACTAACACAGCAAGTCAGCTGTCTTGGAAACCAGAAAAGACTCAAATGGATTAAAGTGGAGAAAACTAATTTTAAAAGGATGCATTTATATAGAATAGGGAATCACTAAAGAGGAACAGAAAGTCATTTTCATAGCTTAAGTTTTATGTTATTTCCACGTGATGACTTTCAATATGTAGCTGCACAATTTAGAACTCTGCAGAGAAGGATAATGTGAAAAGTAAACATGTCTGGGTGTTTTTCTGTTTCTTAAAAATTCTGATTTGTCTAAGAGGATCCTTGTGATGCTAACTAGTTTACTATTCATCCTTTGCATTCTGTTTCTTTGGAACAGAGCTAGTCTGTATTACTGAGGCTATCTATTTTTTAAAATATCTGTTTCTATTTAAAATATCTATGTCTTAATTTATCATTTTAGCAGCAAGGCATATTAAGAAAACTTTCTGCTTCCATTTTCCTCTTTACTTTCACCCACTATATTAGACAGCATTCAATCAGGGAAGCAAAACCACTATGATTACTGTGGAATAAGGATTTTTTTTATAGGAATAAATTATAACTTAATTAAAAGAGAAACAGAAGGAGGGGTCAGAGGGTCAGAGAACAGGATTCGGGAGCCCTGGCCTGGGGGGGACAAAGGGATCTTGCCTAGGAGTCTGAGACCCCAGCCATCTCCAATTTAGGGTGTGCACGGGAAGAGATTGTGTCACTGCACATTGGTTGTGGATGTGGCCAGCGAGGTGGTGAGGAAAGAGCTGGTGGCCATGTAGGGGAGAGTGAGGAGGAGTCAGGGGGTACTGGTACCTCTGCCTCCCACTTGCAGAGCATCACTTCCTCCTTCCAGTCTGGGCAGGTCTCTCTCTTTGATAACTCTAATTTGTAACCACACTAGAAGGGGAATCCATGTAAATGTGGTTTCCCTTAGCCAAGCTGACACAGTATAAAACCATCACATACCTTCCATCTGTTTATCAGATTAGAACCAGAGGAATGTTTCTAGAGCACAAGTCTGAAGTCATGACCCTTCTGAAAAGCCCTTTAATAACTCTTTACATAGATCAATTCCAAAGTGGTATCACTTAAAACATGCACCCAGCTGTGGCTCCCAAATACCTCCCCGTTCTCCAACTCTGTGCTCATTTTTTGAGCCTCTGCAAACTGGATTAAGTGCTTCTCCTGTGTGTTCCCATGGGGCTTTTTACTTGCGACCCTGTCATTGCCCTTATTAGCCTGAATTAGAATTGTCTGGCCTACCAACTATGGGTGCCAAAAGGGGAGTATGTGCAAAGACACTGCAGGACCTTTGCACTTTAAGGAGCTACCATTTAATGGGAAAATGAGGCACGTGCACTAAAAAATTAGTATTGCTACTGTAACAGAGCAAAGAATGAAACTACCACAAGAAAAATAAACTCTGATTTGGGTCATGGGATTATTTCATTGATCAGGTGATACTTTTGAATTCATAGAGTGGGAAAGAGTTTGCCCTCTAGAAAAAGGGAGAGGGTAAGGAATGAGGGAGGAATATAAAGAAATACCAAGCAGAGGGAGCAGCAGGGACTAAGGTGATAGCATGTCCAGGAGCTGGTGAGGGGTGGAGTGGAGAGGGTGTGGTAAGAGGCCAGTGGCCAGATGCAGCCAGAGAAGTATGTCAAGCCAGCTTGTTTTGCCAAGTAACTAGGCTTCCAGAGAAGTGAACCCATGAACATTGGAGAGCCGAGCCTGAGTGAAGGCACAGGCAGTGGTGTGGAGAGGCTCCATTTTCAGGACAAATGTCTGAGGGAGAACGAATAGCACCTGTGTCTGGACACAGGTTGAAGGGTGACTAGCACAGAATTAGGATTTGTAGCTTAAGAGGCAAGGTGTTTGGGAACACTAGGGATATGGGAGCCAAGCAGGAGGGTGGGAGAGATAATGGATTTGGTATTGGAGATGTTAGGCAGCAAAGGGCTTGTGAAAATGGAGCATTCAACAGCACATTTGTCACGGCATGCCCAGCACCATGCAGGTTTAGTAGTATAGGGAGTAATGGGGTTATTGATCCTTAGAAAAAAGTAGAAATGCAACAGAGATCTGATTTGAAATCTAAGCATTGTATCTGGACTAAAGACAAATACTATTATTTGGGGCAATGTTCTTAGCCCAGATTTTACTGCAAACTAGGAAACTCCGAAAATTCTCTGCTGGGCTTCCTAGGAATGAAGGCAGGTGGGGTGGAGGGTAGAAAGAAAGGACAGTTGGGTCATGTCCTTTGTTGCAGAAGGCAGGAGCACTTAACAGTGGAACTCTGAGCTTAGTAGGGCTCTTGACACTTGGTGGGCACTCAAGGGATGTGTGTTAGGTAAATGTATTGAGTAATGAAGTTATTACCAAGTAGTGGTTAAAAATAATGCCTGTACCAAAAGATGGGAGGAGCTGGTAGTCTGGTAGAAAGGTTCAAAATCCTTATCAGACCAGTCACTCTTTTTTATTTTTAATGTCTAGGAGCAGAGCCTCACTGACTAAGGGAGCTGGCATTTTTTTAATGTATTTTTATTCAGGATGGCCTCTGCCTGATGTTCTGTCGACTCACCTGACATATACTCTAGACTAAATCATCAAACTAGATGTGACCTGGACCCTGCACTCTGTCCATAGCCTACAGGGCAGTACAATTGTTTACTTGAATGTCTTAGTCTGTAAGGTGATAGGTTTTTTACTTACATTCACTTGGGATTTAGAGGAGCATCATTATGTTTGTTCAAATATGTGGGAATGGAGTATACACATGACTTTGTAAATCCAGTATTACTGATCATTCATTATCAATTTGTCTTTAAGTTTTTAATCTCAGACTTAACTCTTAACACCAAACTATACTCTTTGGTTTCCTCTACATAAATGCAAAGACTTCTCAAAAACCACTATGTGTCTTTCAAGTTGGTTGGTCATTTTAAACCACGGGTTGCTAGAATGTGCTTATTTGCTGCTAGAATGTGCTTATTTGCCAGTGAACAGTCATTCCCAGAGACTTTAGCTATGTCCTAGTGTGTTCCAGCACTAGGCAAACTCAGATGCTTCTTGGTAGGTTGTGTTTCCTGCTGAATGGTATTGATTTTGTTTTTAATCCCTATGATTAAGAATTTTCTACCCCTGACCCTCACCCCTTGCCTTTCAAAAACTCTCTAAATAGCGAAAAGATAAACTACGTGAACATATGCAGAGGATGCACAATCCTGAGAGGGAGGCCAAGAAAGCTGACCGCATCAGCCGCTCCAAGACCTTCAAGCCTCGAATCACGTCCACAGACTATGACAGCTTCACGTTCAAGTGCCGCCTGTGCATGATGGGCTTCCGGAGGCGGGGCATGCTGGTCAGTGCGAAAAGCCTCTTGCTGTACCTGTCTTCCCTTCCCCCTTCACCTACACTTCTGTTGGTGGTGATGACTTTGGAAAAAACAGGCAAATAGTTCCCAGTTTGCAGCTCTGTTCTTGCCTAGCTCCCTTGGCCTCCCTTTGCCACAGTTTTTATTTCTGGTGACCTCTTGGAAAAGGTCACTTTGCATTACCGGTTTTGTTTTGTTTTTAAAACCCTCTCCTTATCTTTCATTTACTTCCCCACTTTTGTGTACCTGCGTAGACTTTTAGTGAATACACTTCTAGAGAAGTCTTTATTTCCTCCTGATTGTTCCCTTTAAATGCTTCTCCTTCCCAGATGTGAAACAGCAATAGAAGAAAACTTTCCATCCAAGCAGGGTATGTAAACCCAAGTTGGCTGAAATGTCAGGATAGCCAGTTCACCGCTCTCTGTTCGTTTTCACCTTCTTACAGCTTTTGCAGAATATATTTCTGCCAGGAGCTAAAGTCATAGAGCATTATTTAAAATTCAGAACCTTAGTCTGTAGCCCATTCAGTGTCCTCAGTAAGTGTAGGGTACTAAATGTAAGACAGGTTTCCTCCTGGAGGATTCACCAAACACATTCATGCCAGTATAGTTTCCCTTTTCCTGCAGCAGTTCTTTCATCAGAGGCTGTTAATGGGGTCCACAGTGACCCAATACATCTTCATTAATTCACTGAATTTCTGTGAACTCCTGTTAAATGTGCCTATCCATGCTTTTGTGTCGGATGGGCCTGCTTGTGCTGGTTCTGGCCATGTGCCTTCTTTGGGGGGCATGGCTTCAGGGAATTTCAGCTATAAGCAGTCGCTGACTAACTTCTGTTTACAAAGGGTTTCTTTTTCTCTTTAGGTAAATCACTTATCAAAGAGGCACCCAGACATGAAGATAGAAGAGGTTCCAGAGTTAACTCTGCCCATCATAAAACCCAACCGAGATTACTTCTGTCAGTATTGTGATAAGGTAAGGTCCACCCTCCCTATGCTCGTATTTCCCTGCAGGAGCCTTGCTGAGGGCCAGTTTGCTTGTATGTGCTACAAACATACACTGGGATTTCGTGCTTATTTTTTTTTTTGCATAGGAGAACTGGAGTGTAGGCCAGAGGTGCAGGGGGTGAGAGGATTCACCAGAGACAGAGTGAGGAGTAGAACAGGTGGATTTACTGAAATACGCTGCTGAGGGGAGCAGCAGGCAAGACAGGAGAAGTCTGCTGCACCATATGGGTTAGCTTCCTGGCTGGGGATCGAACTCAGGCCAGAGTGGTAATAGCACTGAGCTTTAACCCCTATGCCACCAGGGAGGCCTGTACTAACTTACTTGTAACAGATGGCTCCTGGACTCTCAGAAGTTTTCCTGTAAGACAAGAAAGGGTTAAAGTTCAGCCTCTTTTTAAGCAATTTGGTTTCTTAAGAATTAGTTTACTCTGGTTTGTGTGTGTGTGTGAATTTTGTTTTTCTGTGAATTTTGCTACAAAACACAAGGCTTATTACCAAGAACTAAGTATGTGCATTCATTTTAAATTCTCAGGCTCTAGAATGAAAGTGTTTATCATCCTATTTATAAAATATGTGGTAGATTCTGGATTTCTAAAAGAGTGAACAGAATGTGAAAAGATTGTGTGGTAGAATATTCTATTTGTATTATTCCATTCTTTTTGTGTCGTTACAAAAAAGGCAGAGAAAGTCTACAGTTACTGTTCCTTTGTAATATCATTTCTTATCCAGTCTAGCTGTGTCAGCTTAAAAGAAAGAAATTTTTTTTTTTAAGCCTAGATTGACCTCTGCAGGTACTAGTTGCTATTAGACTTGCCATTTTTGGGAGTAAGTATGATTTTTTGGCATCTTTTAGTCACCCATGTGTATCATATGAGAACTTTCACAGAAAGACTAAAGGGTGAATTGGCCTTAAAAACAATTCTCTTTCATAACTATTTGTCCACCTTTTATTTTTTTTTTTTTAAAGATTTATTTTATTTATTTATTTATTTATACAAGCACTGGGTACAGTCAGAAGCGCGGGAGGGTGAGAGAATTCACCAGAGCCAGAGTGGGGAGCAGAGCAGGCAGAAGGACTGAGGTACACTGCTGAGGGGAGCAGCGGGCGGCAGGAGAGGTCTGCGCGCCATGTGGGACCCTCGCCCGGTGAGCAGCCGGGGATCGAACCGGTGCTGCAGAGGCTGCGGGCAGCTTCGCAACCCAGCGCTCAACCGCTGCACCACCGGGGAGGCCCTGTCCACCTTTTAAACTTTAGGATAAAGGTTATTTTCACTATGACTATCTTAAATATTTAAATTCAAAGAAGATGTCTTAGCATATCTATATTTAGTCTTTTCTTAATTCTAATTGGTATTACATCCTTATTATCCTTCACTTTGTTGGCATATTTTATTCTGGGCTACGTGAATACTTTTTTCTCATTTCCTTGTATGAAATTGTTAGCTTGCTTTAAGCAAGAAAGGGGAACTGGATTCTGGATTCATGCTAAAATGTTAAATGTGCAGGTTTATAAAAGTGCCAGCAAGCGAAAAGCCCATATTCTGAAGAACCATCCAGGAGCTGAGCTCCCACCAAGCATTCGGAAACTTCGCCCTGCGGGCCCTGGAGAGCCAGACCCCATGCTGAGCACCCACACCCAGCTCACAGGCACAATTGCCACCCCTCCCGTCTGCTGCCCTCACTGCTCCAAACAATACAGCAGCAAGGTATGGACTAACTGAATGTGAACCCTGCTTCTGGGCTCTCTTAGAAGGGGATGACTTCTTATGCAGATGCTCTGATGGCTCCTTCTGAATTGCTGGGGACGAAAGGAGTTGTTTCCTAGTTCAGATGGCTATGAACTGTTCCCTAAGAACAGGGACTGTAGGGCCAGAATGGCAAGGGAATAGGTGGGCTTTCCCCAGAATTAGCACCATTGAATAGCTGAGCACTCACTATTTTCCTTCTCTGTTGGCCAGCAAGGATCTCATATTTGAATATTCTGTTTATTGATAAACTCAGGCATGTAGAAGTAATACCTAGGAATTTAATTAACAGTTCTTGAAAGGAGGGTTATTCTTATTGGGGGGCTTTTGATTGATTGCCACAGGTTTTAGTGGGATTAGGGGGTACTGTGAGGTATTCTCACTTTGCGTGATGATGTGGAGTTAGGTGAGTTTGCAATTTCTTTTCAGCCTCATCCCCCTCCCTTCCAATTACAGCATTGTCACCCTTTAAAAATCAGAGACAGTGTTGCTCTGACTTTTAAAAAAATATAACATCTTTAGGCACCTTTGGTTGATGTTTATATTGGAGAAAGATTGAGAATAATTATAATAATTATTCCTGGTTTTTGCCATGATTTCTCAGACCAAAATGGTTCAACATATTCGAAAGAAGCATCCTGAGTTTGCCCAGCTCCCTAACACCTTACATACGCCACTGACAACCGCTGTGATTAGTGCTACCCCTGCTGTTTTAACTACAGATAGTGCCACTGGAGAGACTGTAGTGGTAAGTGTGTGATATCTTCTTCCGTGCCCTTCACAGCTTTTGGTGCCAAAGCCACTACTATCTAGTTATGTCAGTGGCTGGAAATGTAGCCCATTGCTTCTTAGTGTTTACACTGGGTGTTGCCTGTGTCTCCTAGTTGATGCCTTGCAATGTTTCCTGGGTCACCTAGTTGATGCCGTGCAGTGTTGCCTGGGTCTCCTGGTTGATGCCTTGCAGACCTCTCTGTGAAGAGGCTAGCAAAGATATTCTCAGTGCTGCTCATTTGTTTCAAGATTGTCAGAACCTCTAGGGTATCTCCATTGGGTCTAACACAGACAGATACAGGTAATTTTCCAACTTCCCTCAATTGATTTCTGTCTGGGCTCACGACTAATTTATAGTTCTGTGATCCACCAGTTAGACAAATGGAATTTCCATAGGATTTAAGAGCACCAAAGTATCCATAAGCAGCAGTGTAGTACTGTTATCAACTAATGTGTCATTTTCCTAGACAACAGACCTGCTCACCCAAGCCATGACGGAACTGTCCCAGACCTTAACGACAGATTACCGAACGCCACAAGGGGACTACCAGAGAATCCAGTACATCCCCGTGTCACAGTCCACGTCTGGTCTTCAGCAGCCTCAGCACATACAGCTTCAAGTGGTGCAGGTGGCCCCAGTATGTATTGCATTTCTCTCTACCTTCACGAGTGCAGCATTGTCCTTGCTGACATGGCAGCCACACCAACCAAAGCACCCGGTTCTCAGCTAGAACTGGATCCATGTAATGTGTTTCTGCATTTAAGTTTGGAGTCTAAGGCACTGGTCCAATTCCCTCTATCCCCCACCCCCTCAGGCTGTGGAGGGCTCTGCTCTTAGTATAGAGATTACTGTCTCTGGTAGGCCAGAGATTTTTAGGCTCCTGCATATATTGCTGGCCCACGCCATTGCAGGGCAGGATGAGTGCAAGCTCTTTCTGAGCTTCTTCTGAATCCTTTTGCTTGGGTACCTAGGTTGGCTTTTGGTGAGGAATCAGTTTGGTAAGTCCCTGTCTGGCACTGAATCATTTATATCAGTAGGAGGTTGTGAAGAGTAATTTTGATTCATTCTCTGAAAATCAGTCAGTTCTTATTAAAATAGAGGTATAACTGTTCCTTCTATAACTATGTTCCTTCTGCCAAGATAGTGAATAGCTCATTTCTTGCTGATTAGGGTGCTTAATGAAGGACTCCTCCCAGAACTATTGTTTCACTTTATATACCATGGAAGTGTACTCAAGGCACAAGTGAACAAACTTGTAGCTTTGAAATAATTTGGGTATCTGAAATTTTAAACTAGTATCAGAGTAAGTAGTTGGAAATTGCTACTGTCACTAACTCTTTATCAGGAGTTGGAGGAATCTATAAATTTTTGAAGTCTATAAAATATGTAATGTCTATGTGTCTTATTCTGGAGAAAAGAATATTTACTTTAGCTAGATTTCCAAAGATGTTAGTCATATATAAAAGATTATATAAATGGTTCCAGTGTGTTAATAGTGACAAGCTAAAAACAAATTCTCTTCTTTGATTTCTTATAACTGACCAAGGGTAAGTCATCAAATTTAATTGCATTTTAAGGGAAACAATTTTTGATTCCTGAGAGCTTCTCATCTAACTTCTTATTAGGAGTTATATTCCCTCTATCTCCTTCTTTTCCAGAATTAAATAGCATTAGTGGCTTATTTTATTTTATTTTTTTTTTTTGGTTAAAGATTTATTTATTTATTTATGCAAGTGCTGGGTACAGTCAGAAGCACAGGAGGGAGAGAGAATTCACCAGAGCCAGAGCGGGGAGCAGAGCAGGCAGAAGGACCGAAGTACACTGCTGAGGGGAGCAGCGGGCGGCAGGAGAGGTCTGCGCGCCATGTGGGACCCTCCTCTGGTGACCGGGGAGCAGCCGGGGATCGAACTGGCGCTGCAGAGGCTGCGGGCAGCTTTGCAACCCAGCGCTCAACCGCTGTGCCACCGGGGAGGCCCCTATTGGCTTATGTTTTAGATGCATATACTTTTTTTCATTTCAAGTTTTTAATTTATTAATACATATATATACCCATCAATAAGTAATACAGCTTTGTCTTTAACACACAGATGCTTTGTTATACTGCCACTTGCATTTTTTATTCAGCGTTTTGAGGTCTGTCCACGTTGATGTGTAGAGAACTGATTTGCTTTAATTTTCATAGCCTTACATTGCTGATGGCTGTCATCCCTGGAGTTCCTTGCCTAGATGCTGCCTTTCCACCTCTGCTGTCCAGTGCTCTTGGTCTATTAGGTTTTTATATCCTCTTCTGTGCCTTCAAGTGTGTCTTTTTTCCTTATACTCAGCACAAACTCTGACACTTTAAGGGCTGAATGTTGTCACTGCAGTGCTGAGGTAGCCTCGGCCTTGGCCCATCATGGACCCACCTGGCCAGGAGACACTGAGCTTCCAGGAGGCCCAGAACCGCCTTCTCTGACAGCTGGCCTCTACCTCTGCCCACCCCATCACCCACCTTTTAAAACTGTCTTCTCTAGGTTTGCCAGCTTGTTTGCGGCATTGTTAGGAGCGAAACAATGGATTCGAAGTTCCATCTGTTGTTATACTTTTGTTGGGATATTGTTTAGCTGGATTTTTTTCTCTGGGAGGACTTCCCTGCACCTTCATCAGTGTGCATTTGGTCTCTTCCAGGCCACGTCCCCTCACCAGTCTCAGCAGTCCACGGTGGATGTTGGCCAGCTCCACGATCCTCAGACCTACACCCAGCATGCCATCCAGGTGCAGCACATTCAGGTCACGGAGCCTGCTACCTCGGCACCGTCATCAGCCCAGGTACCCTGCCGCACAGGCTATTCACAGCAGTTAATGTGAGGGACCCTGATGAGTGAGATTAGTAATGAGAGTGAAGACACATTACCTGCAGACCTAGTCTCCTTCACTATTGAAATACTATTTTTGGAGCTTAAAGAGTCTTACCTTTGCCTCCAATTTTTATAAGGTATTTTGGACATTCTTTCACAAAGGGATTAGCTTCTTCTCCAAATGGAAGCGATCTGATATTCTGGAGACAACATTGGCCTTTGCTTCAGATTCCGAGTGGCTGTATGACAGCATGCAATGGCCAAGTTTGTCTGATTTTGGAACAGTGACTTTGTGGGGTGTAATTGCATTTATGGGATTGAATCTATGATTAAGATCACATAGCAATATCCATTCAAAAAATATTTATGAAATTCTTACCCTTTGCATGAAACTTTTCTAGGTCTTTTCCTTAAGAAGCTTTGAATCTAGTAGGGATAACACTATTTACAAGTAAATAGATAGGAAGCGAAGGTATCTGTCATACAGGATGCATGTTGGCTCATCCCTGATATATGCAGGTTCCAGAACAAGACTACATATGAAGTCCTGTGTATCATGTCTGAGTATTTAAAAATTTTGAATCAAACTAACAAATCATTAATAAAATGTGTCCTGCTCAACCCATAACTAACCCATATCTTTCATAATGCCAAAATTGGAAACTATATGCAAAATAATACCTGGTGCTAAATTACTTGGATAGAGCCAGTTAAAAGTTAGTTGTATTTTCTGCCGAACACTGAGATGGCTTCGGCAGCTGCCAGGCTGATGTGAAAAGAAGTGGGGAAAAAGGATTCCCTACTCCTTTGCTGACTCTGAACCCTTCCAGTTGCCCTGGAAATCAATAGGATAAACATGCATTTTCTCTGCCTTCGTGTTTATTAGGTGGAAGTTAGGCCTCTATCCTGTACCTCAGAGGACCTTGGTGTACCCATGTGCATGCCTTGACACACTTGTCTTAGCTTCAACCACACCCCTGCAGATTATAGCCTGGATGGGGAGAAAGAGGAGCGGTCTTAGGGAAGGGTGTGCTTGGGCCACCACATTGCTACAAGGAATTCTGAGCATCCATCCTGATCCTCCAGCCTCAGGTTCCTTTGAGCATCTTAGAAGTATGATGCTAGTGGGGAGCTTAGGGCCTTTGTAGATAAAAATTGATAGGAATAAGGCAAAACTTCAGCTGCTCTGCCTCACTCTAGGAGGAGCAGAGCAACCAGACAGCAGAGCCTCCATTCTTATTGAAAATATTATTTTAAGGGGCCTCCTGGTGGTGCAAGGGGTTAAGCACCGCACTATGAAGCTATCTGCAGCCAGTGCAGCATGAGTTCAATGCCCGGCCAGGGAGCTACCCACATGGTGCCGCAGACCTCTCCTGTCTCGCCCGCTGCTCCCCTCAGCAGTGTATTTCAGTCAGTCTCCCTGTTCTGTTCCCCACTCTGTCTCTGGTGAATCCTCTCACCCCCTGCATCTCTGCCCTGCACCTCAGCTCTTGTATGCATAAATAAATATATCTTTTTAAAAAACAGCAAAAAAGAAAATACTATTTTAGCATTGATGCTTTCAGTATTATAATCCACATTAGCCTGATTTATTTTCTTCAGTTATTTGTAAGTCTCTTTTGGAAATTCCTGATTTCTTACTCATTTTGTTCTTGTTTTCTAGGTAACTGGGCAGCCACTGAGCCCCTCCTCACAACAGTCTCAGCAGGGGCTCAGCCCCTCCCAGATACAAGGCAGTGCTTCTGCACAAGGCCAAGCTCTCCAGCAACAGCAGCAGCAGCAACAGCAACAGCAGCAGCAAGGTTCCACTGTACAGCACACATACCTACCCAATGCTTGGAACTCCTTCCGGGGCTACTGTGAGTAAGAAGCACGGGGGAAATGCTCTAAGTCGTGGGAGGTACATTTGCAGCCATGGGCCCAATCTCATCAACTTTAGGATAGATTTTCTACATGCTAGTGTATGTACTTGAATGAGTTTCATGACAACATTCAAGGCAGTATTCAGATCTCAGAGACCTGAGCATTTCAGATGTTAGGGATGTTGATGCAGGCTTGAAGCTAACCAAGGTGGATGTAGGATATGCTGATGGAAATGACTTATCTCTTCTACTGACATTTACTGAATGCCTGTGTATCAGTCACTGTGCTAGACCCTGGGTACAAACAGGAGTAATCCTAGCATTCATATCACTAACATCACTCAGTAATACTGTTGGCCAACGTTCTTCAACCTCTTGCTGTGAGCCAGGAATGATTCTCAACCACCTATATCTCATACTTATTAGTCACAGTATCCTGTAAGTTTTGTTGTTATTTGCTATTTACAGGTAAGGAAGTTTAGACATGGAGTAACTTGTCCAAGGAGCATAGCTAGGAAATTGCAGCTTGGAATGTAGGCAACATGGCTCCAGAATTTATACTTCAAACCACCCCACTATGCTGCTTCTCCTATTAAGATAGTCGTAAGCTCAGAGAGCACATTATCTAGTGAAAATTATCTAGATCTACAAGTCATTGATTACAAAACCCTGAGATAAGTGCTATAGAAGCAATAGAAGGCTGGCTGCCGAAAGTCTGAATAGGTGAAAATCTTGGTGGGGATGACTGCTTTGGTTTGAGCTAGAAAGTCTGAGAACCTTGGTTGTTGAGGATGTGAAGGACAGGGATAAAGGTAATAGTTAGACTTCAGTAAGTGCAGGAGGAGTAGGAGCTGAGAAGGTAGGAAGGCCAGCGTTGGTTTTCCCTACTATTGATTTCCTTACTGTTGGATCCCTCTGCTGTGCTTGAGCTTTGTTTGAGGGATGTAGAGTTGGTATGGAGCCAAGCTCGAAGACTACCTTTTAGGGATGTTTGCAGTCTGTACTCTTAAATATTGGTGGTCACAATGAGGGCTGAGTCTAGTTTCCAGTCATTGAAGGCTTCTACTCATGTTAAATACCAGTAGATTCCTGATAAACAGATTACATTTATAGTCATGCAATTCCAGCGAAGGAAACGTGGACTTGTGCAGGTAGTCATTGTAATAATAGTATGAGCTAGCATTCTAACCTGAAGAAAAGACTAAAAATAAAATTTTTTTCAGGTTTTATTGTTTTATTTTTTTTTCAATATTTTTTCAATAATTTTTATTATTTTATATAATCCTTACATCATTTTTCATCTTTGCACAATGTATGCATTTTCATTAAGGTTATATTCCCCATACAATTGCACACCCCTTATTTTGACTCTAGTCCCTCCTCTCCCCGCCCCCCCTCACCCCCGCCGTAGTGTGTCTCTGGTTAATAATTGCTTGTTAATTTTGATTTTTACTTTATTATAATTAGTCTTTTTCCTGGTCTCTTATTTAAGTTTTCTAAATTCCTGCTATGAGTAAGACCATCTGATGTTTTTCTTTTTCTTTTTGACTTATTTCGCTGAGCATGATCCCTTCTAGCTCCATCCATGTTGCTGCAAACAGCATGTGTTTATCTTTTTTTGATTGCTGAATAATATTCCATTGTGTATATGTACCACATCTTCTTGATCCAGTCAGCTATTTTGGGGCATTTGGGTTGTTTCCATAGCTTAGCTGTTGTAAATAGTGCTGCTATAAACATAGGCGTGCAGGTGCCCTTTGGAATTAATGTTTCTGTGTCATTTGGGTAAATACTTAGGGGTAGAATTGCTGGATCATATGGAAGCTCTATGTTTAGTAGGTCAAGAAATCTCCACACAGCTCTCCATAGTGGTTGGACCAGTTTGCACTCCCACCAGCAGTGCAGGAGAGTTCCTTTTTCTCCACAACCTCACCAATATTTGTTGTTGCTGGTTTTTTTAATATGTGCCATTCTCACTGGTGTAAGATGGTATCTCATGGTAGTTTTGATTTGCATTTCCCTGATTACAAGTGATGTTGAACATTTTTTCATATGCCTGTTGGCCATTTGCATTTCCTCTTCGGTGAAGTTTCTTTTCAGCTCTTCTGCCCATTTTTGGACTGTATTATTTTCTTTGTTTTTGTTGAATCTCATCAGCTCTTTGTAGATTTTTGTGATCAGTCCTTTATCATTAGTGTTGTGTGCAAAAATGTTCTCCCAGTCGGTGGGGTTTCTCTTTGTTTTTGTTATTGTCTCTTTTGCTGTGCAGAAACTCTTTAATTTGATGTAGTCCCAGCTGTTTATCTTTGCCTTCACTATCACTGCTTTGGGCAATGTGTCTGTAAAGATGTCTTTGAGGTGCATGTCATGTAGTGTTTCGCCTATATTTTCTTCTATGTGTTCTATGGTTTCAGGTCTTATGTCTAGTTCTTTAATCCATTTTGAGTTGGTTTTTGTGCATGGTGTGAGGTAGTGGTCAAGCTTCATTGTTTTGCATGTAGCGACCCAGTTTTCCCAGCACCATTTATTGAACAAACTTTCTTTGGAAAATAAAATTTTTTATTAGGGAAAACTGTTAAAATATACAAAAATAGAATAGTGTAATAGACACCCCCATGCCACTGTCCAGCTTCAACAGTTATTAGCACATGACTTATCTCGTCTCATGTGTAAGCCAGTCATTCTTGCCTAGTTCCCCAACAATATGATAATCTATGTAATTTCATCCATATGTGTTTTAGTATGACTCTCTAAAACAAAAGGAACTTTTTAAAAAACACAACTCCAACTCCTGAAAATTATATAATATTGCAAATCAATAAAACTTTTGTTTAAAAAAACTCTAGTGTCACTATCACACCTAAAAATAAATGGCAGTACTTCTTTAAAACCATCAAATGTACAGTCAGTGTTTATATTTCTGTGATCGTCTCAAAGTTTTTTTAATAGTGTGTTCAAATTGCATTCCAAATGAGGGGCCCATTACAATTAGTAATGTCTTCTGAGTTTCTTTCCATATATGCATTTCTCTCTTTCAAGTTGCACTTTATATATTGAAGAAATTTGGATGTTTCTCCTGTAGAGTTTCCTCTCTTCTGGATTTTGCTCTTGGCGCTCCTATGTTATCATTTAAAATACTTTCTTCTGTTCCTTTTATTTCCTGTAGACTGGCTGTTCAATCCAGGGACTTGATTAGATTCAGGTTCAGTTTTCCCCAAGACACTCTTAGCTGGTGTGTACTTCCAGGCACATAATGCTGTGTCTCTTTTTACTTTGCTGCACTATTTCATTAGAGATTGCAAAGTTGATGTATTCTGATTCTGTCATCTTTCATTACTTGTTTGCTAGGAACCTTCTATAAAGAAAAAATTTGACCTTAATTACCAAGTTACTCTGAGATACAGCTTGGACAGGTGTAGTGAGATAAATGCTTTAAATACCCGGTTCATTTCCTTTATGTACCAGTTTTCAAGATGAGTTGTTTCTTAATATTATCCAGTGTGACCAATGAGGACATGTGTGTGTGTGTGTGTGTGTGTGTGTGTGTGAGTTTGTCTTTGCTTCGTTATATACACTCATGGATTTTAGCACATCTGACATGTTCCAAACTATTGCAGTTGTTATCTTTCCTGATGTTCACATTATCTCATCTTTGGCTAATGGGAACATCTTCAGATGAGCTCTGGGATCTTCCCCAGTTGTCTGTCATAGCCTCTTGCTGGCTAGTATAACATTGAGTTCTGGGCTTGTCTCATATATATTCTACCCTAGGTCTGGAGTCAGCCATTTTCCCAGTAAGCTCTGATTCCATTTAGTTGACAATACTTTAGAGACTAGCAACTGGGTACTAGGGGGAACTCTGGTTTTATTATTATTTTTATTTATTTTTTAAAGATTTATTTATTTATGCAAGCACTGGGGTACAGGCAGAAGCGCGGGAGGATGACAGAATTCACCAGAGCCAGAGCAGGGAGCAGAGCAGGCAGAAGGACCAAAGTACACTGTTGAGGGGGGGAAGCGGGTGGCAGGAGAGGTCTGCGCACCATGCGGGACCCTCCTCCAGTGGCCAGGGAGCAGCCGGGGATCGAACTGGTGCTGCAGAGGCTGCGGGCAGCTTCGCAACCCAGCGCTCAACCGCTGCGCCACCGGGGAGGCCCGGAACTCTGATTTTAATTTGCTTTAATAACACTGGGGCAAAATTAAATTCAAGTTTGGTTAAGTTGTGAATGCTAGGCAATAGTGGATATATTGTGCCACTAAATAAAATGAAAATAAAGGACCTCCTCGGTGGCGCAGCGGGTTGAGCACAGCACTGTGAAGCTGTCCACAGCCTCTGCAGCATGGGTTCAATTCCTGACCAGCCAGGGAGATTCCCACATGGCACAGCAGATGTCTCCTGTGGCGCCCCTGCTCCCCTCAGTAGTGCTTTCAGTCTGTCTGCCTGTTCTGCTTCCCACTCTGTCTCTGGTGAATCTTCTCACCCTCCCATGCCTCTGGTCTGTACCCCAACTATTGTATAAATAAAAAATAAAAATAAAAAATAAAATGTAAATGTAAAAAATTTACCTAACAGGTAAAAATCTTTGTAACTTAAAGTTTTAATAAAATTATTGAACATTTATTTATCTTTATTGATACTCAGAAGCCATATTTGAGGGAGAGGCATTGATTGTTTATGATATTTGGTAGTTCTCTTACTAACCTCCTCTGATCAATTCTTATCAGAAATGCTTTCACCATATCAAGAAATCACATCATATAAGCAACGGTAAGGAAATCCATGAAAAACGTCTCAATGGAGAAGGCGATCACTGGTTAGGTATTTGTTACAACGTGTATTAGAATCTGCGGCCACTTATCTGTGAATATTACTTGTTTTTCAGCATCCGAGATTCAAATGATGACACTTCCCCCGGGTCAGTTTGTAATTACAGATAGTGGTGTGGCAACTCCTGTCACCACTGGCCAAGTGAAGGCGGTCACTTCGGTAAGCTCTGCTACTCAGGAGGGTGTCTTTGTCCACCACACTGCACCGCTCTCCCTCCCCTTAGATCCCATTCCCACCTTTCCATGTCTGAGTTAGAAGTGCCTCCTTTGTATCTCATAACACCTTGTGGTGCTGCATTATTAACTCATTACAGTTTAATTATCAGTTTACTCTCTATGTTTTCTCAGTGGATGATTAAGTCCTTTTTTTTTAAAGATTGATTGATTGATTTATATATATGTGTGTATATATATATACATACAAGCAGTCAGAAGCGCGGGAGGGTGAGAGAATCCACCAGAGCCAGAGCGGGGAGCAGAGCAGGCAGGGAGCAGAGCAGGCAGGGTGGCAGGAGAGGTCTGTGCGCCATGTGGGACCCTCCTCCATGGCTGGGAAGCAGTTGGGGATCGAACCGGCGCTGCAGAGGCTGCGGGCAGCTTCGCAATCCAGTGCTCAACCGCTGCGCCACCAGGGAGGCCCTGATTAAGTCCTTTAAAGCTGGGTCTTGGTCTTTACCCTCAGCCTCTTTATCCTTTTCTCTTTATCTTCAGTGTCTCGCCCAGGAGGATGAAATATAGCAAATGTTCAGTGTTTAATTGATAAGTATAATGAACCTCCTAGAGCTATCTCTATATATGGAATCTTAATTGATGACCTTTTTATCTGCTTTTTGGAAAAGCATATGAGTTCTTCATGATCATTGATCCTCAGTTGAGTTGGAGAGAATAAAAACATGAATCCCTTATGGAGCGACCACATTTTTATCTTCACTGGTTTGTTTTGGCTTGCCTAAAGGTTATTAGAAGATAGAGTATATATAAATTTAAATTAAATAACAATTAACAGCTAGGGTTATTGGAATGTCCCCAGGGGAAGACTATTTCCCGAGAGGCTTAAAAGAATAGTGGGGTGGTCTTGTGGCCTCAAAAACCTGATTTAAAAACCAGATTATACTGAGAGCTCACCTGTGTATTTGCATTTAAACTCACATTAACTGGACTTGAGAGAGATCGATAAATCCAGAATAACATTCTGTATTTGTAGTATTGTAATGAAAACAATAACTGATGTGAAATGGAATAGTTACTGGCATAACCAGTGAAATTTTTGCTCTCTGTAGAACCTGTTGATTCTTTTTACTGTTTTTTTGGTCAGGAACTTATTTGGGAATCTAATATAGGCAAGGATGTTCTCCTCCTCCTGCCATTATATACTTACTTACAAATTTAATGTACATTTTCAGGGATTTTTGGAAGTCAACCTGTGGGCTACCTTAAGGGGTCAATGAATCATATGTTGATAATTAGGCCCCCCTCCCCCTGCCCCCTGCTCGAGAAACCACATCATAATCAGAGAGTTGTTTGGTGAACATGGGCACATGAGCATGTGCATCAGAACATATAGCTCTAGAGGAACCAAATGGGTATTTGTCTGTGACTTTTTATCGGGACAGTTCTTGGCAAGGCTACTGCCTGAGTTTCCCCTTGACTTATTTTTTTCTCAGGCTATGTAGCTTGACTGATCTCCTTTCAGAATGACAATTCTTTCTTGAAAAATAAGCATAAGGAAATATAGCTGCAGAGCAATGAAGAAGTTTTCCCAATCAGAGGAAAAATAAAGACAAATGTAGTTTCATAAAGCTAAACTTACTCAGTGTAAGGGGTGTTATTCTAAGATTCCTATGCTTTTCAGTGTTAAAAATCTCTTATTTGACAGTAGCATTTTAAAATTATGTTACTTAATGAAAGAAAATTTGGAGTCATTTATTATAACTTATTTTAATAGGCCTTTGAAATTCAGAAGTCTGAGAACCATTGATTTTTTTTTTACCACCTTTCTTGTGGGGGTGGCATTCTGCCTCTTTATGGAAACAAAATATTTCTTTGATCCATTTTGTATTAAGCTTTACATTTAAGATGGACAATCGCAATCTTAGGAATTTCCGACCCTTAGGAACAACACAATGACACATATTTCCGTTGCCATGTAGATTACCATCATGATACAAATTTCTATACCTGAAGTTATTTTCAATATTTGGCATAACAACTAAGATGTTCCCTTTGTTGTCAGTAAATGTGTTGATCATTTTCTCTAAAGGACATACATAAATGCACCTCACACAGGTGCCTGTTTTGGTGTTCCCTTATAACAATTCTTTGCATATTTCTTTTCGTTTTCTTCTCCTCCTCAGCCTGTTCCCCTTCTAGGTCTCAGATTTCTAAACATCTTTTTCTTCCTGCTCTAGGGTCATTATGTATTATCAGAAAGTCAATCAGAATTGGAGGAAAAGCAAACTTCTGCCCTCTCTGGGGGAGTCCAGGTTCAACCAACCACACACAGTGATTTGGATCCCCAGGCCACCAGCCAACAGCAGCCTACACAGTACATCATCACAACTACCACCAACGGGAACGGAAACAGTGAAGTGCATATCACTAAACCCTAACTTCGTCCCAGAGCTAGAATCAAGCAGTCACATCATGTCTCTTCTTACTCATGTCTGAAAGTTTCTGACACTTAGAACCCTTTTTAAAGATTTGTCATTCACTCAAGAGTTTGGAAACCAGTTTCAACACACATACAACAGGGCTTATTTTACCACGGTCATCTTCATCAAGTTGACACTTCAGACTCAGAAGTTTCTACCATGGGATGGAGATCTTTCAGAGGAAACTAGATTTCAAGATGGAGAGACTTTGTCTTGCTCTTGAGTTTTTGGTTTTTTTTTTTTTAAACACATTGATAAGCCTTACTTTTCCTTTGTGGAAATATTAAGTGGTGTATTGTGTTTGTACCAAAGGGGAGGAAAGGATGTGCCAAGTCCATGGCCACAGGACTTTTTAATTCCAAGCCCTAGCACCAAAGGAGAAGGGGCTTTTTATGGGTGTGTCTTAGGTCAGAACTACTTCATCTTGTGAAGTTTGTGTTTTCAATAATTTCACAAAGGGAGCCACTTGAATAAGAAAATAAAAATGATGAAAGAAAGGTTTGACAGTGATCTTAAGGAAAAAACTGTCATCTAAATTTTTCTTATCACTGATAAAAAATAAATTGTGCTTTTTTTTTTAAAGCCATTGTTGGGCTATTCATTGGTAGTGCTTTCCACAGATGTTGGCCCTCAGTGGAGTAGGCCAGAACCTCATGTTCTGTTAGAGCTTACTTTATCACTCCACAATGGTGGACTCCCTAAGAGCATTTCCCTGTCAGCAGAATTTAAACTCCTACATTAAATCTTTGCCTCCCATTCTCAGACTGTAGTTGTATGAAGGAGACATTGGAGGTATCTGTACCAAATTACTAAAGCAAATGTATGTTTTTACTTTTATATATATATAAAAGTAAAAGGCCCTGAAACCTTGTCCTGCCTTGTAGGATATATTTACCTTTCATCAGTAAAGGATGAATTCCTTGTTCTTACCAGATCTACTTTCAATTCTTGCTCACAGCATCCAGTGTATTTTAGTACTTTGAATGCTGTCTTAAAATGAACATTCTTTAAGGTTAGATGGAAAGGTGGCCCTCTGTTTCTTAATGCTTATAACTTTAAATGTATTGCGCTTCATCTGACCTTTTGGTAAGATGACCAAATTCACACTTAATTGAAAAATGAGAACATGGGGACCATTTGTAATACGTTTTAAGGGAATTATAAGGGATTCAAAAGAAATTCAATCTGTATGACTATTAAGCTGTTAGTTGGAAGAGGAAAAAAAATCTGCCTCAATGATAGTTTTTCTTACATGTGTTCCTGTTTGGGAGTCTTGTTAGCTATGAATTCAAGGGGGCAAATAGATCTCTTTTTACTGTACATTCCAATTATACACATAAAACATGGAAGAAATCAGTATGTATTTTAATAGTTTTTTGTGACATACTAACACATTTTTACACTATTGCGTTTATCATTCCAGAACAGAAAGACCTAACTTCAATTTTAATTGAAGTTAACTAATTTATTTTAATTTACATTTGTGGGTTAAAAACTGGTTCTATAAATCAAGAAGTCTAGTAACTTCTTTGTGGTAAAGGTACCTTTCTGAAAAGTAAACAATTCTGTTGAAATAACTTTACTAATATGTAGATTTTGCACTTTATTTTTGAGACCTCATTCATTTAGTTATCCCAGAAAATATGGGCACTAAAACTTAAGAAAGTTACTTGATGAATGGATTCTATATCTTTGGCAACAAAGAGGTAATGTTGATGTTTTCAATAGAAAATATTGACTCTGGGTCACAAAATAGAGACTCTGTGTCCCAAAGTCCCACAGTATAATGGCTGTAAATATCCTAGTGTCTGGTCAAGAAAGACTTGCTAGGTGAAGAACAGTAGACTTTCCCAAAGGTCTAGTTTAGTTTTTATACCTTAAAGCTGGCCCTGGTGGGGCCTTTTTAATTTGAACCAGCAAAGTACCTCCCCTCCCCTCAGGAATAACTTATTGATTAAAATAGAAAACTGTCACTGGATGGAATGTTCATTTCATGTCAGTTACTTCAAGTTTTAAAATACACGGAAGAAAACTTTGTGGAAGCACCTCTTTGTCTTTTTCCCACATAGGTTTGTCTTTTTTCCCTTTTTTTTTTTTTTGTCCTTATGAGGACTAAGTAAGGACTCTAAAACTAATTTGTTTCTTATCAACTAGTGATGCAGGTGGCTGTCAGGCAAAATAACAATGCTTGGAAATCTGCACATTCATTCCAAGGAAATAGGACTTGGAGTTGAAGAGATGGTAGAATGTAAGCCATCTGAAGACTGACTTTGGGGGAAAAAAAATGTGTGTAGCCAACACTTATATTGTGGCCTTTCTGAAAACACATCGTCACGGTAGATTTCAGTCAGCACAGTGTGACCATGTTGGAGTAGGTAACATAAAATTTTTACATTTTTATTGTTTGATTTGTACCCGTATAAATGAGACATTTCATCATGTAAAATTCCTGTTATTCTGGAAAAACCTGTTGTTTTGATCTTCTCGAATTGTTTTCTGACTTAGAATTACCCTTTCAAAAAACTTTTAAAGATATCTCGGGCTCAAAAGTACTCCCGAGAGACTAAAGCTGACCCACAGGTTGAAAATGTTGACCCTATCCTGTTATTTAAATGTGAACATTTATTGTACATTCAGTGAGTTATAGTGTTAATAGTCTTGTGCTACTCAGCAGGTGTAAAAATTAATAAATATTTTTTTTAATAAACATTTTCCTTGTTTGTGTGTATGTTACAAAAGCTCCTGAGTTCGTAAAATTTTTTTTTAATATTAGAATTTACAGTGTTTGTCCTCTTTACTTCACTACTGTCTGGTCAGAATCCTAAGGTAAGGGAATTTATGGATGAAACCCCTGACATGACGTCCCCCTGACATTTTATTTCAAGACTTATAATTCAAGAACACCCCCCCACCCCCAACCTCACCCCCTCTCCTGTCCCGCCCCAAAAGGCAAGTGGGCAGCCACAGGGGAGCAAAAATGGGTCATTGTTTCCCAAACCACTCTTCCAACAGGGAGGAATATTAGTTTGGTCCGACAGTTTCTCTTCAAATCGACCGAGAGAACTGATTCCACCTCGGGTAGGAGTAGTTGTGGAATAAGTAGTATTAAATTGTTCTTTTAAAAAATCCAGTAAGAAAACAGGGGCCTAGGTAATTAACAAGAGCCAAGTTGAATTTCATCTAAAATCTATTTCTTTTGTGTGTGTACTCTCTTGCCGGACGTCGAGGGTACCGGAGACGGGAGGAAGAAATAGGGACATGCCAGGGACACAGACTCTGTTCGCCTTCTCCCCACTTGAAACTCAAAAAACCGCGGCAGTCTCGACTGCAGAAAAGGGAATTATTATGTGCATAGCGCACGCAAAGGTTCAAAGTACAAAGGTAGTGGATACAAAGTGCTTAGCATCATGCTGCGCACACTTAGGCTTTCTGCAAACATTAGCGAGTGGAATTGCGTTTACTCCATCGTGGGCGCTGAAGCCTCAATTCGCAGCCGGGCGAAGACTACCGACGCCGTCTCAGCGCTGGCGAAGCTTCCACACCAGGTGAGACCAGCGAGACCGCAACCATTCCCCTAGGGCGGCCCCGCCCTCGGCCCCGCCCCCGGCCTGGCCCCGCCCCGGCCCCTCCCTGCCCCGCCCAGGCCCCGCCCCCTGGCCCAGGCCGGGCCCCAGCCCCGCCCCGCCCGCGCGCCCCCAGGCCCCGCCTCTTCCGCCGCCCGAGTCCGGAGCGTGCACGCACTGAGACGCCTGGCGGGAGCGAGCGCGTCTGGGAGCCCGCGGGCCGAGGAGCACAGCGGGTCTGGAGACCTGGGCCCGGGCCTCAGGTGAGCTTGGGTCGGGGCGGCGGAAGGCTCAGAGCGTGGCGGGGTAGCCCGAGGTGGCCGCGGCTGGTCTCTGAGGGGCTCTGCTTCTGTGGGCGTGGGACGGGGAAGCGGGCGTGGTGGGACCGGGCGGCCCGGGTGGGTGGGGGTTAGGGTTAGGCACGGTGTGGGGGAGGGGGCGGGGGCCTTGCGGTGCAGTTTGGGGGGGCAGCACCCGGGCTTTGGGCTGGGGGCGACATCGGCCGGGGAGGGGTTGCAGGGGCGACCGATTTGGACCCTGCGGCAGCTCCGGAAGGTGACAAGGGAGTAGCTTCTGCTTTGGGGAGGGTCTCAGGTGAGGCTAGTCCAGGTGCAGGGTGAAGACCTGTGGGGGAGGCCTTCCTCGCCTCACAAGAGGTGTAGGACGCCACCAGACTTCAGTTAGAAATCTTTGGCTTCCGGGGTTCCAGCCCTCTCCCAGTTGATTGCTTTTTGTATTTTGAGATCTTATTCAATGTAGTAGCAGGGCAAAGGTTGCCACTTGAATAGATTTAATTTAGCTGTATGTCCACCGTAAATTGGAGAAACTTGGGAGCTAGTTAGAAACAGGAGGTCCTCCTTTGCAGCTACCATCACCCTGTTCCTGTCAGTTCTGTTGAGAGCACTATATTCTTAAGCATCAGGTTGCTTCTAGATTTCCCTTCCCCCCACCCACCCATTTTAAAGTTAAAGGCAATTGTTCTGTGCTTTCTCACCTGCTTCAGTTATTTAGGTACCAGGAATGTTAAGGGTGTAATTTACCACGTGTTGAAAGTGACGAGGCAGAGGCACTTGGAGACCATGCAACTGCTTTGTGCAATATTAATCTTTTCTGCAGAATCTTTACATAGATCTGAAATTTCTTCTAGATAACTTAAGGTAATTTACTGAAAAGGTGCTTGTTTTAGCAGTAGTATTACAGGCCATTAGGACCTGCTCTTTATCGTTTTGAACATTTTGGAATGAGACGTTATTACATTGCCACATTGCATGACTACATTAAGTCATATAAACTGTCACCCATCTGGAGATTATTCAGTGCAGGTTTCCAGGATTGGAAGTAGCAGTAGAGAGGGCCTGGTTCAGCTCCCCTTTGTATTATGGATAAAGAAATATTATGCTAAGATCACCGAGATCAGAAGTTCAGTGTTTGGAGTAAGTCTTTTTTTTTCCTTGTGTTCCACACATCCTCCTTCCCGCCACCCACCCCCCCACCCCAACTTGGTAGGAACAGGAGATAGAAATGGATTTAGAGCCAGGGTTTGTAGACTAATTGAGTTCAAGTTCCCTGCGGTCCTGTTAGGTTCCTGGTCCTCAGTTTACCCCTGATTCCAATTATCAGTGTTATGAAATGCTCTCTAAAAATGTTTTAATATATGCTTTTCTGAAGGTGCCTAGTAGTGTTCAGTTATTTCAGAAAGGAGAAAAATAGCAGTATATTTACATGGCTATAAATAATAGCTGGACCAACTAAAAGCTGTTTGGCCACTGACTTTTATTGTTTAGCACCTGTGGAATTTATGTGTACTAATAAAGTCCTGTGAAGACACTCCCCTTCCATGATTTATTGATATATTGAAATGCATGTAGAGTGTTAACATATGCAGTTTGCAGTTAGGCCAATTTGAGTTTCAGTTCTACCCCTGAGGTTGGGCAAGTTATCTACTTTGTATCTTTGCAGAATAGATATAGTAATCCCATGTTGCAAGTTATAAGAGTTAAATGAGTTTTATGAAAGACCTAGCACTTAATATGGGCACTTATTAAATAACATTGTTAATTTCTCAGTTTACTAGTCTATAGGGATTTTCAGTAACTTTTCTGTTGTGAAAGAACAAAGAATTAACTAATAAACATTTGATATAAAATGTTTAAAACATTTTATCAAATGTTATAAAAACATTTGATAACTTGTTTTATAGTAGAGAAATTATTTAATCTGAGTCACATTTTGCTCATATATAGAACAAAGGTATAAAAAATGTTCTTTAGATTTGGGAGTTACTATAGAAGTATTTTGAGTAATGAGAGAAAACTGCTTCACAGGATGAAAAATTTGAAGTGAGAATGCAGCATGAAAAGGAGGGAGAAGAGCAGCTAAGCTATCATTTGGGTGTAAGAATAAGGTATTAGATTTGAGATTGAGTATTTTCTGAGCCAGAATATTTTTTCTGAAGGAGCAATAGTGAAAACCAATTGATTTTCTGCCTTTCTGATTTCTGCCTTTCTGTCTTGAGGTATCACTGTTTGTATTTGTCTAGATTACCTGTGGATCATAAACAATGGACTCCTTGGACCATATGCTGACAGATCCCCTGGAACTGGGTCCATGTGGAGATGGCCATGGTACACGTATTATGGAGGACTGCCTTCTGGGGGGCACCAGGGTTAGTTTGCCCGAGGATCTTCTAGAGGATGTAAGTAGTAATATCCCTGTTTTTTTCCTCAGTGTTAGCTTCCCGAAAGCTCCTGTCCTCAACCTTTTCCACATTCTATAGGTTTTCAGTCTTTTGTGTTCTATGCTTTTTCATTTTCTACTCTGCAGCCATAGTGATTGATGTCTCTGTTTTTTGAAGTGTAAAATCACTTACTATTCTGATTAGGAAAGTAATTGTAAGCTACATTTTGCATGCTTGCCAACCTAACTTGATACCCTGTAAGTCCTATTTTTAGCAAAACAATTTTTAGCAAATAAGAAATTTTGTATTTTCAGAAAATTGTGTTTATTTTAAAATGGTAGCTACCTATGTTGTGAATCCTGAGATAAAACCCACACATATTATCTCTTCAAAAAGTAGTCCTCTAGTCCAATAAATAGTTTGTGCCCTGGGATGTTGTATCAGCATGCTATTGACCACTTTCACAGGCAGACTGTATAATCATCATCATTATTAAAGGGGCTATTGTTTATTAAGTGCTTACTATATGTCAGGCACTGTGTATGTGAAAACATGTATTTACTTTGCCATATTTCAAGCATACAGACATGGTAGATAAAACTAAAACCACCATTTTGCTCTTATCTTATTCCTTTTCCCACTTGAGGCAATAGAGTGGGAGAAGTACTGAAGTTGATACATATTCTCTCTTCTTTTTTCTTTGCCTTGTTTTTCAAATAATTCTCTTTATGTCATTCATTTAGTCAGCCAAAACTTGTTTATCAAATACCTACTATATGCTAGATACTGAGATGCTGGGAGTAAACTGGGGTACAAAAATAAGTTTGCAGGAAATCTTGGATCCTGAGGTGCTTTGGTATGTGCAAGTAGAGATACCTGTTAGATAATTGCATTTCTGGATTGTCTTTTGGGTCGCATTCCATTTTCCTTAGGATAAAGTTAGAACAATTATTTAACATGTTTGCAGTACCTTACTCCTTTTTTACTGTCTACTCTTTGCTCTGTCCTTGTGCCAGCCAAACAATGCCTGAATTTTTAAAGTTTTTTCCCTAAGAAAAGCATATAAAATGTATGCATATATATAAAGTTTAAGCAGTAACAAATCACCCATGTTACTGCCACTTGGCTTAAGAAGTAGAATCCTACCAATACCATTCAAACCCACTGTGCTCCTCTTTCTCTCCTTTACCCCCACAGGCAACTCTACCCTTTCTTTTCTATTATTTTGTTTCTATGATTTTGCTCTGTAAATTTTAAACCTTCTTGGGCCTCCCTGGTGGCGCAAGAGGTTAAGCACCGCACTATGAAGCAATCCGCAGCCTCTGCAGCACAAGTTCGATCCCTGGCCGGCCAGGGAGCAACCCACATGGCGCAGAGACCTCTCCTGTCTCGCCCGCTGTTCCCCTCGGCAGTGTATTTCAGTCAGTCTGCCTGTTCTGTTCCCTACTCTGTCTCTGGTGAATCCTCTCACACCCCCTCATCTCTGGCCTGTACCCCAGCTCTTGTATGCATAAGTAAAATAAATCTTTATAAAAATTTTTTTAAAACCTGCCTACATCTTTTTTCCTTTACTATTTTATTTTTATTTTTTTAAATATATATTTATTTATACAAGCACTGGGTACAGTCAGAAGTGCAGGAGGGTGAGAGAATTCATCAGAGCAGGGAGCAGAACAGGCAGAAGGACTGAGGTACACTGCTGAGGGGTGCAGCGGGCGGCAGGAGAGGTCTGTGCGCCAATTGGGACCCTCGCCTGGTGGCCCAGGATTGAACCGGCGCTGCAGAGGCTGCAGGCAGCCTTGCAACCCAACGCTCAACCACTGCACCACTGGGGAGGCCCTCCCTTACTATTTTAAATGTCACTTCTGGTAGGTATCCTCTGCACCCTAAGTCTGAGATTTGTGCTTCTCTTTTGTGCTTGTAGGTGAAGTACTTTGTAACTGCTCATTTAATTATAACTTCTTACACCCTATTGTAATTGCTTGTTAACTGTTCCTGCCTCCAGTATTCAGTGTGAGTACTCAGCACATAGAAGATAGCCAGTGTATGATTGTTGAGTTGAAAACTCAACAGTCTGTCCTGCCGCTTCTCATTCACAGTAGGTGACCTCAACTCTTCAAGTTCTCTCCTCCCATTTTAACTTTTCTCTGCTACTCATTTTAAGTTACACTCAGATATCCACCATCACACTCCTGTTGGCGGAAATGGTTTCCAAATGGGATCCTCTACTGAGCTCATTTGCTTCTGGATCATTATTTTCTTTTTTTTCTTTCTTTTTTTTAAAAGATTTATTTATTTATTTATACAAGCACTGGGTGCAGTCAGAAGCGTGGGAGGGTGAGAGAATTCACCAGAGCCAGAGCGGGGAGCAGAGCAGTCAGAAGGACCGAAGTACACTGAGGGGAGCTGAGGGGAGCAGCTGGTGGCAGGAGAGGTCTGCGCGCCGTGTGGGACCCTCCTCCGGTGGCTGGGGAGCAGTCGGGGATTGAACCGGTGCTGCAGAGGCTGTGGGCAGCTTCGCAACCCAGCGCTCAACTGCTGCGTCACCGGGGAGGCCCTGGATCATTATTTTCTATTGGCTGTATGTTTATATGTTGTTTTTATGTAGTTTTCACTAATATTTGTTTTGAGAGTTATATGGAGAGAAATGGAATTTTACTTTAAAGAATTTAAAAACGTGAGTGGTGATATTAATTGCACAGCAGCGTGAATGTACTTACTGCTACTGAACTGTACACTTAAAAATAGATAAATTGTAAATTTTGTTGCACATTTTACCACTTACATGGAGTAAATTTGGTTTTTTCTTGTTTGTCTTTTTACTGCTTTCCTGATTCTCTTAGCCTGAAATATTCTTTGATGTAGTCAGCCTGTCAACGTGGCAAGAAGTATTGAGTGACTCTCAACGTGAACACCTCCAACAGTTTCTGCCTCACTTTCCTGAAGACATTATTGAGCAGCAGCATGAACTCATCCTAGCCTTGTTCAGTGGAGAGAACTTTCGATTTGGAAACCCTCTGCACATTGCTCAGAAGCTTTTCCGAGGTGTGTAGCTCAATATTCTTTTTTTTTTGAAAGGTAAAAATGGGAACACATTCTTCCTTGTGAATACTTCTTCATTTTATTCTGTTTGTTTTCATGTATAGTAGATACCGATTCAGTAGAGAGAGTGGGTTTGTGTAACACATTGCTGCCTGGGCCAGTCTTTTTTTTTTTTTTTTTTTAGTTTTTATACCTCATGTAGAAACTATGTAAGTCATAAGTGTATTGCTTAGAGATTTATTATAATATGACTTTGTAACCACCACACAGATCAAGAAATAAAACATTACCAGCGTTCTAGAGCTGCCCTATATGACTGGTCTCCAAATTTTTAAAGACAGCTTGCTTGCCATTTGCGCTGTCATATGTATGTTAGAGAGAGAGAGTGTGTGTGTGTGTGTGTGTGTGTGTGTGTGTCACACACAGTTTTATTATTTCTGTAGAAAGCATGGCACTTTGCTGCCAAGCACTTCAGCATATAGGTGTATCTGCAAGGACTCTCCCATGCAGTTGCATTCCCAATATCACAGCCAAGATATCTCATATTGTGCAGATAATATCATGGACTGTTCATGTTCATGCTTCTTCACTTGTTCCCAAAGTGTTCTTTGTATTTGTAAATTTTATTTTATTTTTTTAAAGATTTATTTATTTTATGCATACAAGAACTGGGGTACAGGCCAGAGTTGTGGGGGGTGAGAGGATTTACCGGAGACAGAGTGGGGAACAGAACAGGCAGATCGACTGAAATATGCTGCTGAGGGGAGCAGCAGGCGAGTCAGGCGAGGTCTGCTGCGCCATGTGGGTTGCTCCCTGGCCTGGGATCGAACTTGTGCTGCAGTGGCTGCGGAGAGCTTCATAGGTTGCATCTTAATCCCTTGCGCCACCAGGAAGGCCCTATAGTTGTAAATTTTAAATTGAGGATCCATTCAAGGCTCATGTACTGTGTTTGGATCTCATGTATCTTTGATTCCTGGTTCTAGCACAGTCTGCCTTTTATTTTTTAACTTGTCTTTCAAAACATTGACCTTTTTAAAGAGCCCAAGATACTTGCAGCTACCATGTTGTTCATATTAACAAAAGTCAAGACGATGCTTAGTCCTTTTGGGAACTCCTGCCAAAGCAAAGTCACCTTAGTAGGAGAATTGGGGAATTCTGCTTTTTGGGGAATTGTCATCTTATTCCCTCATAGATTAGATATGGGTTCAACATTTTTGTTAATAACACTACATGGGAGATGTTAGTTCTCGCTGTCACTTTAGGAAGCACGTGGTATCACTTTTTGCACTGTTGGTGGTGATGTGTTTGATCACTTGATTCTGTGTTGTTTGCCAAGTCCTCTTGATGTAAGGACATCATGTTTCTTTGTAATTGTGCATCACTCTGTAGCTTACTACTTTGGGACCAAGTAATAATCTTATTTGTTTTACTCCTTGGCTTTTGCATCCACTGATGACCCTTTCTTGAGCTACTGCATTGGGGATTTCAAAATGGCTCTGGGCCATACTTAAGTCACAGTCCCTTTCTGTACTATGGAGAGGTGCAGAGAAGCCTCTTTTTCTCCTGCTTTCTAAGGTGACTTTGCTTTGGCAGGAGTTCCCAGAAGGACACAGCATCTTCTTAACTTTTGTTGACTTGGACAACGTGATAGCTGCAAAGGACTGGAGGGGAACAGTCCTACCATTTCAAACCTCTGATTATCTTACGGGTTTAAAATTGGCATTCCCTCCTTTATTGGGTTATTAGTTTAAAGAGGAATTATCAGTGTGGTTGGCAACGACCTGACACTGAAGCCAGGTTCCTCAGGTAGTAGTAAACTGATAGGGCCTGGTTGGCTTTGGAGGGTTTATGTCAGGGCCCTTATGTAAGGCTGCCCAAGGAGCTGGCATGTTTTTCCCCAAACAACATGATGGTCTGGAATGTCAAGGCAGGAATTTCAAGGCAGGAATTTCTGCATATTTTACTCTGCATATTTCAGTCCTAGTGTTGCTGATGACAATTACACGGTCATGGTTGTTATGGTTATCAGTCTCAACTGAGCTATCATTTTGGTATTATTTTACCTTTGGTTCTCTTTCCTGATTTCTGTTTTAAATATTCACCTTTTCCTTAAGTTCCAAATGCTTATCAAACTCCATCAGCTTTCCACCTCCACCCCAGCTTACTATATTCATTTCCATTCTGACCTACTTTGCTTGTCTCAGAGGAAGGATTTTTTTCTTCTGTTTAAGATTAACCTCTGCTCTTGATCCTTTCATCTTTTGCCTCCTCTGGGACCTTGTTTCCTCAGTTAACAGTTCTCTGTATCCTGTGTATTCACTCTACTTGGGTACCTATTCTCATTCTTTTTTAGCCTATAGATGTGATCAGCATTCTCATACTTACAAAAAAAGTCCTTGACCATCTGTCCCTTTCATTATCTTACTATTTTAATTTCTCTCCACACTTCTTGACAGGCCCTCATAGTAATCTCTTCCAGTTAGTCTGTCCCTGTCCCCTTGTGGTTATTCCTTATTATCTCTTGGAGACTACTTTAGCTAACATCATTGATGACCTCTTTTATTTTCCTTCAACTTTTTAAATTATAAATTTCAAGCCTACAGGAAAGTTACAGTTTGTAATAAACATCCATATACTCTTCACCATGTTTACCTACTGTTAACATTTTACCTGTTTACTCTCACCCCTATTTTTTTTATTTTATATATTTTTTACATCATTTTTCATTTTTGCACAATGTATGCATTTTCATCTTGGTTATAGTCCCCATACAATTCCCACCACCCTTGTTTTGATGCTTACTCCCTTACTCCCCCCCCCGCCCTCTAATGTGTCTGATTTATAGTTGCTTGTTGATTTTGATTTTTACTTTATTATAATTAGTCTTGTTCTTGGTCCCTTATTTGGGTTTTCTAAATTCCTGCTATGAGTGAGACCATCTGGTATTTTTCCTTTTCTTTCTGGCTTATTTCACTGAGCATGATCCCTTCCAGCTCCATACATGTTGCTGAAAATTGCATGAGTTTATCCTTTTTGATTGCTGAGTAATATTCCATGGTGTATATGTACCACATCTTCCTGATCCAGTCATCTACTTTTGGGCATTTGGGTTGTTTCCAAAGCTTAGCTATTGTAAATTGTGCTGCTATAAACCTAGGGGTGCAGGTGCTCTTTGGAATTAATGTTTCTGTGTCCTTTGGGTAAATACCTAGGAGTGTAATTGCTGGATCATATGGAAGCCCTATCTTTAGCAGATTGAGGAATCTCCACACAGCTTTCTATAGTTTACCACTATTTTTTTAATTGTTAACTTATTATTATTATTGCTGATCTATATGCGAGTATTTTATCATTCCTGAATTTTTCAGTATTAATCCCTGAAGACTAAATATACTTCCATGAAGACTAAATATACTTCCACATAACCACCAATGATCAAATTCAGAAATACAGAAAACGCATTTTCTATAAATTCTGCATTTAAATATAAAATTTAACATTGGCATACTGCAGTCTAATATGTACAGTCTATATTTGTATCCCATCAGTTGTTCCAGTCAGCATTTGTTTCCTGCTCCATGTCTTTTCAGTGAACATGTAATTTCTAAACCAGCAGATGCTTTTTTGTTCTTTTCCTGATTTGTCTGCACCATTTGCTGCCATGATTACCTCTTCTCTTGACATTTTCCTTCCTTTGCCTGGATTTTTTCATGTCTTTTACAGCTTGCCTCTAGCCCCACTTTCTTTCCTAATTCCTATTCCATTCATTGTTCTAAGTTACTCTTGTTTTAGTTTTTTTTTTCTTTCTTTCCTTTATGTTTTCCTGGTTTCACTCACTGTTTTTTCATCCATAACTCTTACTTGGGCTTCTTCAGCAGCCATCTCCACTCAGCTACCAGTGAGCTTCTTAAAACTTTACTTCTCAGATATTTACCAACTGCTTTTTTAGGGAATGAAATTCATAGCTATAACGTACTATGTGACCTACCTTGTACTCAACTTTGTCTGGTACTATTTTCTCCTTTTTCACTGCTGTCTAGACCAACACAGGCCAATAGAAATATTATATGAGCTCCATGTTCCATTTTAGATTTTCCAGTAGCCATAATAAAAGGAGTTAAATTAATCTTAATGTATTTTCTTTAGCTCAGTATACCCAAATTATTAATTTAATGAAGGTGAAACATTAAGTGGCTGTCAGAAAGTGAGGGAAACTAAAGACTCAGGAATGAAACATCAAAGAAGTGCAGAGGCAAAGAAGTAGACTGTTAATCCAAATAATGTCAGACAGTTGTACTAAACTCTTGGCTTTTTTTCTTGAAGGTTAAATTTCCTGTTTTCCACATACAGGTACCATAACATGGTGGTTCAGTGCTTGGACTCTGGAGCTGAAATGAACTATCTGGGTTAAAACCTGGTTTCCCCCCCAAAAAAACAAAAAAAAACTGGTTTCCCCTTTTTTAGCTATGTGTTACATTGAGCAAGTCATTTACCTTTGCTGTGCTTCAACTTCTTCACCTATAAAATGAGGCTATAGTAGTACCTCTTTTTTTTTTTTAAGATTTATTTTTATTTATGCATATAAGAACTATGGTGTAGGGCCTCCCCAGTGGCGCAGCGGTTGAGCGCTGGGTTGCGAACCTGCCCGCAGCCTCTGAAGCGCCGGTTTGATCCCCGGCCCCGGGCGAGGGTCCCACATGGCACACGGACCTCGCCTGCCACGCCCACTGCTTCCCTTAGCAGTGTACTTCAGTCTGCCTGCTCTGCTCCCTGCTCTGGCTCTGGCGAATTCTCTCACCCTCCCGCGCTTCTGACTGTACCCAGTGCTTGTATAAATAAATAAAATAAATCTTAAAAAAAAACAAAAACAAAAACAAAACTACAGTGTAGGCCAGAGGTGCAGTTGCTAAGAGGATTCACCAAATACAGGGTGGGAAGCAGAACAGGTGCATCTACTGAAATACACTAAGGGGAACAGCTAAGGGGAGCAGCAGGCGAGACAAGAGAGGTCTGCTGCACCATGTGGGTAGCTCCCTGGCCGGGGATCGAACTCATGCTGCAGTAGCTGCCAATAGCTTCATAGTGCTGAGACTTAACCTCTCTCTGTCTCTCTTGAGATTTGTTTCTTAATTTAACTCTTCTTTTCAGTTGGTTTACTTATAGTGAAACACTGTCAATGCGATTGTTTTCTGTCTCCCACTGGACTTGTAGATACCACATAGATGATTTTTCCCCCTATGTGTATTCCTGTTTAGTACCCACTTTACCACATTTTAAGCACACATAAAATACTGTTGACTGATGTATATGTAATTGTGCCTCTGTTCTTTTAAGATGGACATTTTAACCCTGAGGTGGTCAAGTACCGGCAGTTGTGCTTCAAGTCACAGTACAAGCGATATCTCAACTCTCAGCAGCAGTATTTCCATCGGCTGCTGAAGCAGATCCTTGCTTCCCGGAGCGTAAGTAATGCTGGAATGGATGTAAAATGAGTGCAGTGATCACACCAATTTCATGACTTCAAGAAGTGGTTCAGGCATTTCTGCCTGCCAATAATTGGCACTTACTTTGGATCTGTTACTTGTTGTCATAACTCATCCACACAGGGCTAGGACAGGACATTTGGGACTACTGTCATTTTGATTGCTTCATTTATTTTGACTTTGATTTTAAGCTGAGGCATTATTTATTCTATTTCGTTTTGTTTTGCATAGGAGAATTGGGGTGTAGGCCAGAGGTGTGGGTGGTGGGGGGCGTGAGAGGATTCACCAGAGACAAAGTGGGGAGCAGAATAGGCAGATGTACTGAAATACATTGCTAAGGGGAGCAGCAGGCGAGACAGGAGAGGTCTGTTGTACCATGTGGGTCACTTCCTTAGCTGGGGATCAAACTCAGGCCTTAGCAGTGATAGTGCTGAGATATAACCCCTGGGCCACCAGGGAGGGTCTGAGGCATTTTTTTAAGGAGGAAGGTCGTCATATATAGTGTGTAAAAATCAAATGGATTTAAACTAAAAAGAAAGTGGTTCAGATATAAAATAGAAAATACTAAGAAAATCACAATACCTAATATTTTTTTAAACTTTTCTTACATTGTTCACTTTTGTACAATATTTGATTTCTCCCTCCAAGTGTATTTCCCACCACCACCTCACCCGTGAACATCACCATAGTCCCTTGTGCTCTTCCCTCTCCTGTTTTGACTCTTCTCCCTCCCTCTCCCTTGCTATATGCCTCAGATCTATAGTTTGCCTGCAAGTTTTGTCTTTTTTTTTTTTTGCTCCTTTGTTCTGTTTCCCTATATTCCACCTATTAGTGAAACCATCCAGTATTTTTCTTTTTCCTTCTGACTTATTTCACTGACATTAACCCCTTCCAGCTCCATCCATGTTGCTGTGAATGGCATGAGTTTATCTTTTTTGATTGCTGAGTAGTATTCCATTGTGTATATATACCACATCTTCTTGATCTAGTGATCTGTTTTTGGGCATTTAGGTTGTTTCCATATCTTAGCTTTTGTGAATAGTACTGCAAAACATAGGAGTGCAGGTTTCCTTTAGAATTAATGGTTTTTCATCAATTCCAAGGAACACCTGCACCTCTATGTTTATAGCAGCACTGTTTACAATAACTAAGCTTTGGAAACAGCCCAAATGCCCAAAAATAGATGACTGGATCAAGAAGATGTGGTACATATACACCATGGAATATTACTCAGGATTCAAAAAAGATAAGCACATGCAATTTGCAGCAACATGGATGGCGCTGGAAGGGATCATGCTCAGTGAAATAAGCCAGAAAGAAAAAGAAAAATACCAGATGGTCTCACTCATAGCAGGAATCTAGAAAACTTAAATAAGGGACCAGGAAAATGAGTAACTATAAGAAAGTGAAAATCAAAATCAACAAAAAACTATGAACTAGAGACACTTTTTGGGGGGGGGGGGTGGGAGGGGAGGGATTGGGGTCAGAATGGGGGGGTTGCAATTGTATGGGGAATATAAAAATAAAATTTATTATTTAAAAAAAAAAGAATTAATGGTTTTTGTGTTCTTTGGGTACATTTCTAGGAGTGGAATTGCTGTGTATATGATAGATTCATTTTTAGTAGTTGAGGAGCCTCCATACAGCTTTCCATAATGGTTAGACCAGTTTTCATTCCCACCAGCACACACTACCGAATTAAATCATGATAAAATCAAGCTATACTATTCTTTCCATAGCGGTTTGTCTTGAAGTTTATTGAATATATTACTCCATTCTCTTCTTCTTTTTTTTTTTTTTTTAAAGATTTATTTTTATTTATTTATACAAGCACTGGGCACAGTCAGAAGCGCGGGAGGGTGAGCGAATTCACCAGAGCCAGAGCGGGGAGCAGAGCAGGCAGAAGGACTGAAGTACACTGCTGAGGGGAGCAGCGGGCGGCAGGAGAGGTCTGCGCGCCATGTGGGACCCTCCTCCTCCGGTGGCCGGGGAGCAGCCTGGAATTGAACCGGCGCTGCAGAGGCTGCGGGCAGCTTCGCAACCCGGCGCTCAACCGCTGCGCCACCGGGGAGGCCCAATTCCATTCTCTTCTTGCCCGTAGTGTTTCTTCGGAGAAGTCTGAAGTTAACCTGATTGATTTTCCCTTGTATGTTATCTGTTTCTTCCCCCTTGCCAGTTTCATTATTTTTTCTTTGTCTTGGACTCTTGCAAGCTTTACTATTATGTGTCTTGCTGTAGTTTTCTTTTCAGTGTGGTAATTGGGTGTTCTTTTTGCTTCTTATATGACAAACTGCAGGGGAGAAGGAGGGAGAGGGATCAGAAGGAGGGAGGGAGGCGCACAGGGGACTGAGGTCATGGTGCATGGGTGCACTGGTGAAGGAAACTCTATGGGCACTACACCGGTGGGGGGGGGCGAAGCAAATATTGTTTAAAAATGAACAATGATGTAAAAAATTTTAAAGATTAATATAAAAATAAACAAAACACCTAATTCTTTTTCAAAAGTGAAAAATCAAGCTATACGATTCCAATTTTAGGATTTCAGAGATGTTAAAACATAAAAGATATAACTCTTAAAATATATGAAACATAGTAGCTTCAGGCTTTTTTAAGATAAACAGATCATGGGTTAGCAAGAACTGAGTTGCTTTGAAATTAATGTGAGAGTAAGGCCAACATGCCCTGATATACATGTAAGTGCACCAAGCTCAGTGGCCCAGGGTGTGGACCAACCTGGTAATTCTTTGAGGCTGTTTGACTCTAAGTGGTTTTTTTAAACCTTGGTATGGAAATATTTGGTGTCTAGTATTAGAAGTATTCATTCTCAGTGGAGTAGTTCAGCTCTGAGATTTGCGATTTTTTTTTTTGCAATATTATATTTTGCAATATAATACTATAGGTGCTTTTTAATTGGACATACTCATTTTTATGTGCCTCTTTCTTTGTGATCTGGATGGAGCCAATTGAGCTTGGTAAACAGTGAAGAGAGAAGACAATGTGGACTTAAGAGACTGTACCAGAACAAGCCTTGCATGATAATGTCTACTCCAGTCTCATCTCTTCCTAGGACCTCCTGGAGATGGCCCGACGGAGCGGCCCAGCCCTTTCTTTCCGGCAGAAGCGCCCTTCACCATCTCGCACTCCTGAGGAGCGGGAGTGGCGAACCCAGCAGCGTTACTTGAAGGTCTTGAGGGAAGTGAAGGAGGAGTGTGGTGACACAGCTCTGTCATCTGATGAGGAGGGTGAGTGTCTTTGGGCATTTGGGTTAGCTGGGGTGTCATATTTACACCAACACCTTGTTTGGTTGGAGCCAGTGGTAGTCATTTGGTCCCCAGCAGGGAAACCATTTCAGTTGTCTGTCTTGGGGGTGGATAGTGGGACTCAGAACCCCTTGGTATTTGGGCACTGAGACCTGCTAGGTGGGGTGTGACTACATATATACCTTTTTTACCCTTGATACTTAAGCAGCATTTGAGTATAGATGAATCCCTGCATGGCAGGGCTCTCCACAGTAGGCCTGGTCCTATTGTGCCACTTGAGAGAACTGCTTTTCCCCTTACAGGAGAGTAGTAGTGACTGTTGGCCTGCTGCAATGCGACCCCATCACTCTGTTGAAGTCTCTCTTCCTGGAAGAGCCGTTTAAATCACCTAAGTGTGCTCCAGTTCGTCTGGGGAAGGGTCAGAAAGGAATGGTGGAACCCTGGCCTCCATGTTGTTGGCTTAGCCTTGTTGAACCCAAATGGCCACTTACCCAATCTCCCCTATTGGAGTCCACAGCCACGTTGGATTTACAAGAAAAATTTTCTTTTGAAGATCTCAGCTCATGGCTTCCGAGCTCTCCAGCGCGTTCTCCTAGTCCTGCGGTGCCCCTGAGGGTGGTGCCCACGCTTTCAACCATGGATATGAAAACTGCAGGTGAGAACTTCACTGATGCTTTCACCATATTGGGAAATCAGGATGTAGACCTATGAATTCCCTTAGACAGAGGCGGGTACTGGTTTCTTATCTGCAAGAAAATAAAACTAAGGATCAGAGACTTGGAGAAGTTTTTTTTAAAACAGAAGTACTGTTTTACAAGTAGGTAGACCTTCATTTGTTTTGCAGTTTTTCGTTAGTACCTAATCAGGTGATAATTTGCACTAAATAAAGCAGAATCTGAAAATAGCAGTACTAAGGGAGAACTCCTGTAATAGAACAAAAGGGGTTACAGAGCCAGAGCAATTTCTTGTACTGTGAAATTAGAGAAGAATTTTTAATTGGAATAGAAAGCAAGGAAGAATGTCAAGAACCTTTAATGTGTTTTAGGAGCAGATAAGTAACTGAGTTCATTGTTACTGCCCAATATATAGAAAAGCTGAATTGATCCCATGACAACTTTAAAATTGTTGGTACTTGAAGTACACAGGAGTCAGGGGGGAAAGAAATATCTTACTTTCGAATATCACAGGTGATCAGGAAGATTTAAATTGGAGCATGGGAGTAGTAAATGACCTGGTCCATATGGTTTGGTTCATTTCCTCTCAGATAAAATAGAACTGGGGGACAGTGACCTGAAGATAATGTTAAAGAAGCACCATGAGAAGCGGAAACATCAACCAGTAAGATTGGAGGGTGGGGTGTGTGTTCATTAGGGATTGCCCATTGTAAAGATGTGTTCACTACCTCACGTATGCTTCTTCCCTTGTTAGATGACAGGAGCAACATGAGAAGCCATTTAACGCTAAAGATGTGAGAATTCAAATGCTTTGACTTTATCAGGCATGCTTAACACAGTGCCCATTTAGTCTGTGCAGCAGTACTGGTAGATGAGTCTTTATGTCCATTTAACCAGTGCTCAGATTGGTGAAGGAACTTGTCCTAGCTCTTCAGCGAGTAAGTGATAGAGCTGTCAGGAGCACAGCTAGAGCTGAGCCTCACTTTTCCCTCTTTATGCTGTGTCTGTTACTCCATTCAACCAAGTCAGAGTAATACCCCTGCAGCCAAGCCCGGACAGTACAGGAGGAAGAAAAGACAGTGCCTTTGAGGCAGAGAGTGGTGAGAGGGGGAGAATCCCGTATTATCTGCCAGAACTGAGTTCTATCTGTTTTCCACTCATCTATGGTATTTTAGCAAATCCCTTAAACTCTCTGAGTTTACATTTATAAAATCTGATATGTTCAGATTTTATAAATGTAATAATACTTAATAAGACTGTTCATAAGGGAGCACATAAGGGATGCAAAGGAACTTTAAATACTATAAATGCTGTTTGATAGAAAGCTTGGAACTGGGTTCTGTGCTCCATTCTGAGATTTTTCCTCTGAATATTTTTGACTCAAGATCATTTCCTCAAGTACACCTAATATGTAACTGTATGTTAATAAATTGGTAATGTTATTGTCAGAGTTCACTCTTTGTGCCTCCATAACAAATTTCTGAATGTCACATCTAGGATCACCCGGACCTTTTGACAGCGGACCTTACTCTTAATGACATCATGACTCGAGTAAATGCTGGCAGAAAGGGCTCCCTAGCAGGTAAGTGATGATCTGTGTAAGTAGCCATCACCTGACTATGGTGTTAAATTACAAGCCTGTCGACATGGTGCAAAAAAAGAAATGAAACTGTGGCTTCCTTCTTGCTGATATTTGTCTTCTTATTGCCTCTTATGGATATGTAGATGGAAAATGAATATTAAATCAGTACAACAGATCAGTGACTCTTCAGTAAATGTTAAAGATTAAGCTGTAAATCACTCATTGGGTTTAGTTTAAAAAAACCTCAAAGACCTAAGTAGTTTCTTATTGAGACTTTCCTTTTACTGATGTGATTTGGGAAAATATTACTCAGATTAAGACCCTTTCTGATGTAGAAAATGCAGTTCTGTGATGTGTGTTGCTTTTTCTTCCCAGCCCTATATGACTTGGCTGTCCTTAAAAAAAAGGTTAAGGAAAAAGAAGAAAAGAAGAAGAAGAAAATAAAAACAATCAAATCAGAGTCAGATGATCTGGCTGAGCCCCTAAGCAGTACAGAGGGGATCCCACCTCTCTCACAGGCTCCGTCTCCACTGGCAATAACAGCTATCAAAGAGGAGTAAGTGAACAGCAGAGACTACTGCTCCAGGGTGAAAGATTAAGCAGAGGGGTGTACCCTACACTGGTGTGCTATGTGAGCTGGTTTCTGTTTAACATGTTAAGTCCTGAGTTCCAAGAATCCTGCCAGAGAAAGTAGTTGCGACCCTTCACTGAGTGACTGCTAGGAGGCTTGTAGGGCCTAAACCAATCAAAGGACGTGTTCTTGGTCTTTTTTGGTTCTTATTTTTTTTCCCTTACTAGGCCTCTTGAAGACCTCAAGCCTTGCCTTGGAATCAATGAAATATCTTCCAGCTTCTTCTCTCTTCTGTTAGAGATCTTGCTACTGGAGGGGCAGGCTAGCCTTCCTATGGTAAGAGTTTTGGAAAAGTCAGATATACATCAAAATTTTCAAATTGAGATCATTCATGGTCTGTAGCTTGCGAAGCAGGACTCTGCAGCTAACCTGCTTTGTTACTTGGGTAAACTGGACATATATACCCCAGCTTGCTATAGCATATCCATGGAATTGCTGGTGTAGAATAAAAATCTGAGTTCTGCCTTTATTTTCCCTTAGCTAGAGGAACGAGTTTTAGACTGGCAGTCATCACCAGCCAGTTCCCTCAACAGCTGGTTCTCTGCAGCCCCCAACTGGGCAGAGTTGGTGTTACCAGCCCTGCAGTATCTAGCTGGAGAAAGCCGTGGTAAGGTACTTTTCTCGGTAGTCATTATTTTTTGTTTACTTTTGTTTAATTCTTACAGTAAACTTCAGCATTACTGGTTTAATCTGTTGTTGCTTTGCCTAATACCATGCCTTGGCAACCTCTGCTTTTTTTGAATGCTTTAAATGTGGAGAAGTTGGTTATTCTGAGTTTAACATTCTCTCTTTTTTTGCAGCTGTACCTTCTAGTTTCTCTCCCTTTGTTGAATTCAAAGAGAAAACCCAGCAGTGGAAATTGCTTGGTAAGTAATTCATATTATCTATGTATAACAGTAGCTTTTTATTCTCTCAATTCACATGGCTGTAGTCAGAAAGCAGAATGTATGGGTTAGCATGAAGGTTCTCTACTTTGGTGGTGTGCTGCCATCAGTTGGGGAAAATAAAAAAACAGTGATGTCTTTGGGCCTTACCCACAGAGTTTCTGATTAATTTCCATTATTTTGTTCTGATATTTTTAAGTTTCTTGGTGATTTTTGTAGCCATGTTTGAGAAGCACCGTATCAGGGCTTTTGAAGTGGAACTCTTTTAGGTAATGACAGAGTCCAGTTGTGATGGTGGGAGCAGAGGCTGCAGTGGAGTGGAGGGCCAAGGTCACTGAAGGCAAATAACTGAGGTTGCTAGAATAGTGAGAGGACTATCCACATGAGTGTAGAAGTTACCCAGTTTGAGGACAGGGTAACTTGTCCTGTGACAAGAGTGGTGAGGAGCAAGGTAGGCAGTGATCTCTGAGGAGGACTACGTAAGTAGCTGTAAGCAGCAGGGACTGGGTAGATGCAGGTGATTAAGGAAGACCTCAGGGAGCTGTGGCTTTTTGTTTCATTGTGATTTTCCAGAAGAGCTGGGGAGGAATAGTTCAGTATCAAGTATGGGCATAAGAAAGAATTAAATCTGAAGGACACAGCTGTGGGAAGAATTAGGGGAACTAGATTTCATACAAAGCAAGGAAGTGGAGGGAGTGAGAAAAGGATTAATCTGTAGGAGAACTGACTGATTATGAAGTAGTATTTTTAGAAGGCAGAGTGAAAGTAAGCAGTTGTCAGGGGTCAGAAAAATTCAGAGCTTTTTAGGGATGGTGGCATTGTGTACTGACTAGTAAAAACAGAGATGAGAGTCCTTCTCATGAGCCTTTGAGAAGGATAGACCCTGAAGGGCTGCATTCTTCAAACAAGCAGCCCTGGGTGATGGTGGTCTGTCCAGTCTGTGGAGGAATTCTAGGTAGCAGCTTGTGATATGTACTACAGTAGGAGTAGAACAGGGTGATAGAGGAGGAGGGCAGAGGGAAAGTGCTCATCTCTTTGTAGGCAGATCCTTGGGAGTCAGGGTTTTTCCTGCCTTGGATTCCTTGTTGCTGTGCTAGTGTATAACATGCCTTTGTGTCCCCACTGGTCAGAAGAAGCCTAATACCCTTCCCCCAATCTCTCTAAGGGTAGGCTAACTTCCCTAAGGTGAACTTCGTAACATCCTTTGTGACATCTATCACTTTCAGATTTTATTTGATATGTGTTCTTTCCCATGATGGCAAACACTATGAGGGCAGATACTGAATTCAATGAATAGCCCTAACTTGGTATGCACTGAATACTTGGCAAATACCAGTTGGCATTTGTCATTGAATAAATGATTTATTTAGTAGACATCCAGCAGAGCTGGTCCAGGCAGATAATGAATGGAGGGGCATTATAAGCTAATGGATAAGATATGCATAGGTCCAATGCTGTCTGTCCTGAAAGATTCCTTCTGGAATAGAGCAAACAAGAGAAAGTGGGTCTCTGATTGTATCTGATTCCTTTTTTGCCGTTTTGTTCTTATAGGCCAGTCCCAAGATAATGAAAAGGAATTAGCTGCCCTCTTCCAGCTGTGGCTAGAAACAAAAGACCAAGCCTTCTGTAAGGTAGGGTTTTTAAAGAAATACTAGGCAATCTTATTATTGAGTTTCCAGAGTCCTTAAGTTACCGAGAGCTATTCATTCGATTTACCTGTTACCTGTTTTCCTTTTCTCCAGCAAGAAAATGAAGACAGCTCAGATGCTACGACACCTGTTCCTCGGGTGTGAGTATAATACTCTTTGGAGGGTGGTGGCTCATGAAACTATAGCCAAAGGTACAGCCATAGTTTTGCTGACATTTTTTAGTAGGGAACTTAGAGATCCTAGCAGTTTGCTGATTCTTTCCTTGGCTACCTACCTTATGAGTGCAATACAAGTCTATTGCTAACAGGGGTGTCCTGAAGAAAGTGTTCTTAATTGGGGAGAGGGTTGCATACTAGAATCTGAGGGGGGTGTGATCTGCCTTATAGGTAGGTATGCTTTTTTCCATGAATACTTTCATCTCCCATTTAAAAATAATTCATCTATTCATCTTCCTTGTTTTACCTATGAAGAAATTGAGGCATGAAGTTAAATGACTTGAAAGTGACAGGACCCAGGTTAGAATTTAAGTCTCTTGATCTCTAGTGCTGAGCTCTTAATGTCACATCCGCTCATGTATTTGTTTCCAGTCTGTTTTGATCCATTTCTTCCCACCTTTGTTGAAATATAACCTTCTGAAAGCTCTCACATTATGTTATCAATTTTTTCCCTTTTTGAGCTTTGCAAGAATCATGTATTAATGAAGGGACATTTTTTCATGTTGTAAAGGGAATGGTTCTGGGTGCTAGAGAATGATTAATGAATGTAAAATTCTTATGTTTCAGAAGAACTGACTATGTTGTGCGCCCCAGCACAGGGGAGGAGAAGCGGGTTTTTCAGGAGCAGGTAAGAAATAGCTAGAACCCAGTATAAATTTCTGCATCTATGAGCCATACAGAAAAAAGCCCTAAGCCTGACTGCCTTGGTTCAAATTCTTGGAAGAGCTCATACCCTTACCCGTAGATATTCTGGTGGTTGGGATTGTTTGCTGTGGTTGGAAGTGGTGTGAGGAAAAGGATTGAGGATTGTTTTAATGACCTTTTCTTCCAGTTAGCATTATCTGTATTCACTTCGTTGCAATTTGCTGGTGACTTTGAGAATCCCCTCTTTACACTATGGTTGGAGCTCTATTTCTAATTGAATGGCATGTTTGCCTCTTGTTTTAATCTCTCCAGGTGAATCTCTGTTTTAGGGGAGTGCTAGCAAGACCTCCATTATTCTGACTTACAAACCTTCTTGCTTTTCTTTTGGTAGGAGCGTTACAGATACAGCCAACCCCATAAGGCATTCACCTTTCGCATGCATGGTTTTGAGTCTGTTGTGGGGCCGGTGAAGGGTGTATTTGACAAGGAGACGTCACTCAACAAGGCCCGGGAGCACTCTCTGCTGCGCTCTGATCGGCCTGCCTATGTCACCATTCTGTCTCTGGGTATGTGCCATCTGCTTATTGTCAGGACCATATTTTTCCTTCAGCCAACTGTGCTTCCCTCCCGCCTCTTCTTCCCTGTGTCTTTCTGGTACCTGCCTGCTCCCCCACCCCAAAAAAAAAAACACAGAGAGAGAGAGAGACAGACACACACCCCCACACACACACCCCCACTCCCACCCCCCAACACCTCCCGCCCCCCCCGCCCCCCGCCCCCCCCCGCGGCCCCCCCCCCCCCCCCCCCCCCCCCCCCCCCCCGGTGTAGTTTTAGGAAGCTTTGGAGCTTGCGGGATGAAGAGAGAGTCTAATCCTCAGATTGATGCCAAGAGTCAGAGTTTCTTTCCTGAAGTCTGGGCTCACATTTAATTTCATTCAGGAATTTTTCACAGGCCAGCTAACTAGTGTAAGCATAGGAATTTACTATGATTCCTTTAAAGATGAGGTTTTTAACCGTTTTTTGTGCCAGGAGTCGCTTCAGCAGTCTGGTAAAAGCTGTGGCTCTCTTCTCAGCATTGTCTCTATGAATGCATAGAGTTAGAAAAGAAACCAGTCTTGAAAGTTATCATAATATTAATGCAAACATAGGGTACAATAATGTTTTTGTTACGGTTTTATTTATTTTATTAAAAGATTTATTTATTTACTTATACAAACACTGAGTACAGTCAGAAGCACGGGAGGGTGAGAGAATTCACCAGAGCCAGAGCGGGGAGCAGAACAGGCAGAATGACGTAGTACACTGCTGAGGGGAGCAGCGGGCAGCAAGAGAGGTCTGCGCGCCATGTGGGACCCTTACCCGGTGGTCAGGGATCGAACCGGCACTGCAGAGGCTGCGGGCAGCTTCGCAACCCAGCGCTCAACCACTGGGCCACCGGGGAGGCCCTTGTTATGGTTTTAAATGACAAGATCTAGCAACAGATCTTACCACTCCAAATAGAAATGAATCGTAGTGGTATTTTGAGTTGTAGCAGCTCTAATGTGTATAGAAGTACCTAATTTCTCTTACAACATCACACACAGCATTGCCAATATATGGTTTGTTACTGTAAGGGCAGGAATGACACTGAGCAGGTTTCCTGATCCCGTGCAGACCGGGTAAAGGAGGAGTCACAATCCTCAGTGGTTTTTTGCAGGTCTTTTATTGGGGTTCAGTGGGTACGTGGCAGACAGGGGTGCTGGGAGGCTGGCAGTCCTCCCAGCCCCCAGCAAATCTTCACTCTATCTGAGCTCTCTGGTGTTCTCTGCTTCTGCTTCGGGCTTCTTCTCTTTTGGCTTCTACTGGTGTCCCCGTGATACCGCCCTTAAAAAAAAGCACAGTCTTAGCACAGGTGTACCCACTTCAGGTGCCCGCCATCAGGCATGCATTCAGGACCACAGGGTTCCCTCATCTATCCTGATGGCGGGAGGGCAGAAAAGCTTGATTTTTTTACCTTACCCTACAGTTACCTTGCTCATAGTTGAAGGGAATAATAAATTTTAGTTAAGCATGTGATTTTTTTCCACCCTAGTTTATGTACCCACTGAAGTCTGAGTTGTCATGGGCCTAAGTGTGGTGTATAGGAAATGCTGGTGGTGAGCTGCCAGCCCCCAGGGGGCAGCGTCCTCCTAATGCTGGTGTAAGTTAGAGAAACATAACCTTGGATAACTGGGCCCACCACAGCAAGTAGAGGGACAGTGTACCTCACTAGAAGCACTGCTTGATTCTTGAACTATCTTTCTGTCTTCTGATTTGTTAGTTCGAGATGCTGCTGCTCGGCTGCCTAATGGTGAAGGTACTCGAGCAGAGATCTGTGAACTACTCAAAGACTCCCAGTTTCTAGCACCGGATGTCACCAGCACTCAGGTAGGATGGAGAAGACATTATTTTTGTTGTGTTCCAGGTGGACTTAAGAAAACTTGCAAGGAAATATCCAGAAACATATTTTTTTTTAGAAATGTGAATGAGGAAAAGGAAAGGTTTTCTCAAGAAATGCAAAATGATGACCTAAGACCTTTGCTGTCAGTGAAACACAGATTTGGCTCTAAGCTTTGCTTCAGCTGTTACTAAAGGTTGTAGTTTATGTTCTCCTTCAGGTAACTAATTTCTCAAGACTCTCACAGTGTTTGTTACTTTGCTGAATGACATAATGATGTTCACCAGGCTGAAATTTGATGTGTTTGTCAGGTGTGACTTCATCCAGTGGTTTTTCTCTGGGGTCTGAGTCTGACTTGTTCCTTATTCCCTTTGCTCTGGTTCTTAGGTGAACACAGTAGTGAGTGGTGCACTGGATCGACTACATTATGAAAAGGACCCATGTGTGAAATACGACATTGGCCGAAAGCTGTGGATCTATTTGCATCGTGACCGGAGCGAGGAAGAGTTTGGTGGGTGGGGCCTCTGTGCAGGATGTCTGACTAGACTACGGGGGCTTCTGACTTTCTCTCCCAACGCCATCATTCTCATTGATATTTAGGCAGGACAGGACTCAGCTCACTGATGAGCACACCAGTGAGGTCTTGACTCTTAAGTCACCCTCCTTGTTGCTGATATGTTCCACTCTTGTTTACAGAACGGATACACCAAGCGCAAGCAGCTGCAGCTAAGGCCAGAAAAGCCCTTCAGCAAAAGCCCAAACCCCCATCCAAAGTGGTAAGTGACCTCTGAGAGCACCTGCTTTAGTGGTTTTTGGGGTGGCAGCAGTAAGCCTTTACTTAGTCACCAGAGGTGCCATGCCTGCCTTCAGGGACTGTCATTTAACCTGCAAATAATCTCTCTTCTCTTCTTACAGAAGTCCAGTAGCAAAGAGAATTCCATGAAGGTCCTCAGCAGTGGCCCGTCTGAGCAGAGCCAGATGAGCCTCAGTGACTCCAGCATGCCACCCACCCCAGTCACACCCGTGACCCCCACCACTCCAGCTTTGCCTGCCACTCCTATCTCTCCTCCACCTGTATCATCAGTGAATAAAAGCGGCCCTACCACTATGTCAGAACCAGCTAAGTCCAGCTCAGGGTAAGTGCTGCCATTTCTTCTCTGACTTTCTTCCTTTACAGTCTTTTGTATGCATGGCCTAAATTTATTTCTTACTTCCTTTTGATCTTCATTATAGTGTTCTCCTGGTGTCTTCACCAACTATGCCACAGCTCGGAACAGTGCTTTCCCCAGCTTCCAACCAGACTCCACCAAATTCTCAGGCTGCTGCCCGTGTTGTGAGCCATTCTGGCTCGACTGGACTACCCCAGGTGCGAGTGGTGGCTCAGCCTAGCCTTCCTGCTGTTACTCAGCAGTCAGCGGGGCCAGCACAGACACTGCCACAGATGCCAACAGGACCGCAAATCCGTGTTCCCGCCACTGCTGCACAGACCAAAGTCGTTCCCCAGGTACCAGAGTCGGGGTAGGGGACCTAATGAGCTCAATAGGCAGTCTGGGTAAGGATCAAGGAGCCTTAGATTATTGCTGTTGTGCATCACAACTACTATTTAGCATTCAGAGCAGGATAAGAGTTCTTGGAAGTTATATTATACATGTTAGGAATCAGATCTGCAGAGAAGTTCAGTGTTTACTCATCCTTGATGTGAGTGGTGTGTAAATCCAAACCCGTGATTCTGATCTCATACTCCTTCCGTTGTGCCTCTAAGTCTTAGTCATGCCATTAACCAGTTGTATATATTTAGAGTCTTCTGTTTCCTTTAATGTAAAAGGGGCATACTATTTATCCTCTTTGTAAGAATGAGATTAAATGTGAAAGCGTTCTGAAAATTTAGATGTTCTACACAAATACAAGAATTTTATAATGTCCATTTTAGAGAATAGTGAGTCTTAAGCATATTAGTTTAGAAGTAATTTTAGAGGAACCCTGCTGGGTGGGTCCTTGCTGGAGATTGCTGGGCATGCTAGACTATGTCTTAGTGTCTAATTAAGCTCTTCGCTTCATGCTCTGAACTAGACAGTAATGGCCACTGTTCCAGTCAAAGCTCAGGCTGCAGCAGCCACTGTGCAGCGGCCTGGACCTGGGCAGACGGGGCTCACAGTGACAAGTCTTCCTGCCACAGCCAGCCCTGCGGGCAAGCCAGCCACAAGTTCACCCGGGAGCTCTGCTCCTAGTGCTTCCACAGCTGCTGTCATTCAGAATGTCACAGGACAGAACATTATCAAGCAGGTAGGTAGAAATCTCCCAGTGCATCTGACTCCTTTGTCCAAAAGCAAGAGGGCACTTGGAGATCTTAGTGACTTAGATATTTAAGCTGTAGTTGTAGGTATGTCAGGTGTTTGTTCTCACCAAAGGTAGTACAAGCTGCATAGGTGCTGAAGAGATTTCTGTGTTTCTTTCTATATATGTTAGCTTTTAGTAGCTGAGTTTCTGTATTTGGAGTAGACTATTTCATGACTTCAGTTAAAATTCTTTCTATAACTATGTGCTTTATTGGTGTTTTAGCTTGGCACTAGAAGAAGTGAAGGTATACTTGTACTTTCTTGGTTGTGAATATGCAATGATACATTGAATTTCAGAGAATTGTTGGACAATATAACAATGCCTGTAATGCTTATTTTGTCTGTACTGTGCTAAACATTTCATAGATACTGGATAATTTAATCCTTAACACTATGGAATGGGCATTTTGTTATCCCCATTTTACAGATGAAGAAATGGAACTACATAATGGTAAATGAATGTTTTCTTGCTTGAACAAGTATGTATTGCTTTTTGTGTGCCAGGCACACAAGTATTGCTCCAAGTATTGGGGATGTAGTGACATATTACATGGATCAGGTCCTTGCCTTCACAGAGCTCGTGTTCTTATAGACTCTGTAAGCAGTGGGAGGGGGAGAGAGAGTACTGTTTGAGCCAGGGTGATCAGAGAAGATCCATATGAGAAGATGAAATTTGCAAGAGAGTTGAATGAGGGTAGAGTGTATGACTTGTAATGACTGTCTGGAGATAAAGCATTCCAGGCATAGGTATTGCAAGTGAAAATGCCTGAGTCAGGAATATGTTTGATGAATAACAGGAAAGTTATTGTGCAGGAAGCTTAGTGGGTGGGGTTGTGAAATGTTGGAAGGTGAGAGAGATTGGCAGGGCTTCAGTCATCTGGGACTTTGATTTTGATTTGATTGTGATGGGAAACATGGAAAGAGTGACATGATCTAATTTACATGCAAGCATCCCCTGGCTGCTGTGTGGAATGGACTTCATGGGGGAAGTGGTAGGAGGTCGTAGGCAGTTGCAGCAGTGCAGGTGAGAGGTGGTGCTGGCTTGTGTGAGTAGTCATCAGACGGTGTAGACAGTAGGATTGGATATAGGGTTATGGGTAGAACCAGTGTAGTTTTCTGGTGGATTGATTGTGGGGTCTGAGAGAAGGGAGTCGAGAATTAACCCCACGAGTTTGGTTTGGGCGACTGGGTAGATTAGATGGTGCTCTCATTTCCTGAGAGCAGAAACACTGAGATGTGGAGGCTGGAAGACAGCCCAGAAAGCGATGTGTGCTCACAAAGTCTGCACCTGCCTCTGAAAGTGTGAGTGAGATGAGGCCTAAGAATTGACCTCAAGTTGATTATAGACAGTGAAATAGACTGGGTGCAGTGGATTGGTGGCTTTTTGGGAATGGGCTCAAAAGAGATTGTAAGGTGAGGACGTTGAGTCCGTAAGTATAGGCAATTTTTACAGCAGTTTTGCTTCTGAAGAGAACAGAGAACTGAGGCCGGAGTGGAGATGTGGGGTGAATGGAAGAGAGCAAGGATTTGTTGTCTTTTAGGATCGGAAAAGTTAATAGCTTAATTGCGATCTGCATGGCTATGGCACAGTAGAGGGGAAAATCGCTCATGTGACAGAGAGGAAGTCCCTGAGTAAACTGGAAGGGTCACATCTGTTACCCGTGGGGGATTGGGGACTTTGATAGAGGTTGGTATATGAACCTGGACAGTCTGGCTCCAGAGCCCACCATGCCATACTGCTATTCTCAAAATGCAGATTGGCACAACTATAGACAGACATCTTTGAGACAGGAAGGGAAATGTATGTATTATTAGGTAACAGGCGATTTTGCACTTAGAGTCTTTTAATAGGTTAGAAGTGTATGCAAAAGTATTGATTAGCAAAATGATATATCTTGGCATACTTTAAGACATTTCAACTCCTCAAAAAAGGGGGTGAATAGAGATAATAAGATTGACAAAATATTAGTTTTTGAAGATGGGTGATGGGTATCTGGACTTGTTACACTATTCTCTGGTGCTTACCACTTTTCATGATAAAGAGTTAAAACGTGAAGTGCACATACACAAGAAATGGAGATTTGCCTAATCATACTCTATAACCCACTTAGTAGTGTAAATCCCTTGTCTGTGCTGTTTCTTCCCCGTCCAGGTGGCAATCACTGGGCAGCTTGGTGTGAAGCCCCAGGCAGGCAACAGCATTCCACTCACAGCCACTAACTTCCGTATCCAGGGTAAGGATGTATTGCGTCTGCCACCCTCTTCCATCACCACAGATGCTAAGGGCCAGACAGTTCTGCGAATCACTCCGGACATGATGGCCACTTTGGCTAAATCCCAGGTTACCACAGTCAAACTGACCCAGGACCTCTTCGGGACAGGAAGCGGCACTGCAGGCAAAGGAATTTCTGCTACCTTACACGTCACTTCCAATCCAGTCCATGCAAGTGACAGCCCCGCCAAGGCTAGTCCAGCCAGTGCCCCTTCATCCACTCCGACCGGTACCACCGTGGTCAAAGTGACTCCTGATCTCAAGCCAACAGAAACCTCAAGTTCAGCTTTTCGTTTGATGCCAGCACTTGGCGTGAGTGTGGCAGACCAGAAGGGGAAAAACACAGTGGCCTCCTCAGAAGCAAAACCAGCTGCCACAATCCGAATCGTTCAGGGCCTGGGAGTGATGCCTCCCAAAGCAGGCCAGACCATCACAGTTGCAACCCATGCCAAACAAGGGTCCTCCGTAGCCAGTGGGTCTGGAACTGTCCATACTTCAGCGGTGTCCTTACCCAGCATGAATGCTGCTGTGTCCAAGACTGTGGCTGTGGCTTCTGGGGCTGCAAGCACCCCCATCAGTATCGGGACAGGAGCCCCCACTGTGCGGCAGGTCCCTGTCAGCACCACAGTTGTTTCCACGTCCCAGGCTGTGAGTAACATTAGCTACCTGTAACTCATTTTTCCTGCTTAGAAAACTTCTGAAGGCTCCCTAAAAGCTAGGAAACTGCTCTGTAGTAACGGAAATTAATCAGAGGCCCTGTCTGTAATCACCTCAGTCTGCTCAGACAGGCTTATTTTACTAATGAACTTCCTTTGATTTTGAAATAAATTTATGAAAGTGTAATACATGCATACATTCTTACAAAATGTTAAAACAGCACAGAGCTAAAATGAGTAAAATATAAAATTTCTTCTATCACCCTTTAGTTTTCGTTAGTGAAAACTAATACTGGTGGTATTCTGGCATTCTCTAGCCCTTTTCCTGAGCATTTTCACAGTTGAAAAATCCCTATGACAGATCCTTATATATTCTGTGTTTTTTTTTAATTTATTTGAAAATATGTCTTGTGGATTGCTGTAGATCCTACACAGACATGATTGCCTTTTTAACCATACCAGTGTAGACAATAGAGGGGCTGTGCTTTAACCATTCTTTTATGAAAGAATATATTTTCACTGTTAAAACCAGGGCTGAGGTAAATGTTCCTGCAAGTGTTTGGGAACATGTCAGTATTTTGGAGCAGGTGGGTTGTGGGTCATGGAGGTAGTGCATTTTGAAAGTTTTGATACTCGGTACTACCAAAAAGGCCATGCCAGCTTTTACTCCATCCTCCAGTCTCCCGTTCTCCTGTACCCTAACCATTGCAGCCATCACGTGCTTTTTTACTGTGTGTGCCTTTCTTCCTGGTGAAGACTTTTTTTTTTTTCCATTTCTTTACCCTCATTGAGATTCTACACCCATTCCTATGGAAATCGGCATGTGCCACAGTGGTGAACAAATCTTTGCCTTTTTTCTTCTCAGGTATTTGTTGTTTTCACAGTTTGAGGGGATTGTTTTTGTCTCCTGGATGTGAATTCTTTGTATAGAAAATATTTCTTCCATCTTCTTGGCTTTTCAATCCTCTTATGGAACGTTTTGTTCTGCAGATATTTTGTCTGATTAGATCAATCAGCATTGTCTTAGGGGTCCTAGGTGTTGTATTTTGTGCCTTTCTCACACCAGGATTATAAAAGTACTGGCCTTTATTTTCTTAAAATATTTTCAGTTTTGAAGAAGTATAATTGATAACTTAAATACACTTTTGTGAATGCCATGTGGTAGTGATCTCATTTTATAATTTTAATATTATTCCAGTAACATTGACTAGCTTATTCCTCCCAACTAACTTGAAATACATTCTTCATAAACCAGATTTCCACATCAACATAGGTGTGTTTCTGAGTGCGTGTGTGTTTATTCTTTAGCGTCCCGATAAGGAGCTCTGTCTGTATCAATGGTGTGTATACGGACAGTATAAAATAGAGTCCTACTTTTCTAAGCAAGTTGTTTAGTAAAACCTCAGTAATTCAGATAAAAGCCAGAGTAATGGAGTAAAACTAATCAGTGAAGCCTAAAATACAGTGACTTGCAAGGAAATACCAAAGTTCTTATAGCACGGAAGTTGAAATAAGGAAGCAAGGAAATAGCACTGACTTGATCTACTTTTGTCTCTTTCAAATCCTCCTTACACAGAGAGGTGGTATCCAGTGGCATCCACCCTTTTATAATTAATTTAGCTATTGATTGTATAACTGGAGAGCATTTGGCAAGACAGGAAGTATTGGATGGTGCTTTTTTCCCCTGTCTAGTCAGAGTACTTCTGAGGGAATAATTTCATTTGGTGTACACTGATGGTCTGAAATTTTTTAAGCAATTAAGACATTCTGTATAAAATCATCAGTAAAGTTATCTGGAGGCCCCATCTTGTGCTGTTCTGTTGCTTCTTGACCTCCTTAGTGCTTTCTAGTGGGCTGCAAATTATGAGTCAGCTGGAAACCGGTGTGGGAACCTGAGGCTCAGGTTTTGCAAATGAATGTCTCACTACGTTAGAACTAGCCTGCCCATAGGAAATTTCAGTGCCTTTTCTTAACATCCTGTCAGCCACCCCTATTGAATTATTTTTTAGATTAAATTTACACGCGATTGTACTGTATATAAATTTTCATACCAACCAAGAGTTAAAAAAACAGGCAAACTCAAAAGAGGCTGACAAAGCCTGATGTCCCAAAGGCTCTAGGCTGTTTCAGTTTCTTTTTTATTGTTCTTAGGCCTTATTAACTTTATAGCTGGGCTTTTCACTTGGTTGAGTTTATTATTAGTGATTCCTAACTAACCTCTGTTATCACTGGGAAAAACAAAGCACCTGGGAAATGTCACCCATTTCTAATCTAGCGTGTCACGGTGTGTGCTCCCACCAGTTGAGCCTGCTTCCAGTGAAGCAGTAGTTATGTACCTTTGCCCTCTTCACGTTTACTTCAGTTACTGTGTGCCAAGTGTCTGGGCATACACAAGGAGTAAGGCCCTCAGACTCTTACTGTGCTTAAGGGGACACTTGCTTCCTTTGATTTAGGTACCCCTTTTATCCTGATAACAGCAGTTGTGTGTAGTTGCTGCTGCTTTAGGTAGTAGCACGAAAGAGGATGACCACAGATCAGATGATACCTAAATGAAGTACATGAGCACTTAACTGCAGCATATGAGCAGTTTCATGACCTTTCCTGGGTCCACACTGTCGCAGTAATAGGGCTCTGCAGAGTACAGGGAGCAAAGGCATTTGAGTGCATGCTTATTCTTGGTACCCTGTAGTTCACACCTGGAGGTTTTGTCTCTTTCCCATGAACCTAGTTGTGTTTTCTCTTTAGGGGAAGCTGCCTACACGGATCACAGTTCCGCTGTCTGTGATTAGCCAGCCTATGAAGGGCAAAAGTGTGGTCACAGCCCCCATCATCAAAGGCAACCTTGGAGCCAAGTAAGTGCCGTAGTAAGGGGTGGCCAGGCCTCAGCATGGGTCCTTGTCAGAGTGGAAAGGCAGCTGGATTTTATGGGCTTCCCCTTTGATGATTCTTCTGTGTTGTGCTCATCAGTAGTATTTGAGTTTTAATACTTGTTGAGGTGCCGGGGAGACAGCAGTGATTAAAATAGACAAATATCTAAGCTGTCTTACATTGTTAAGTGGGGAGAGAAATAGCAAAGATACTGCATGGAGTGGTCATGCATACTTCGGAGAAAAATCAAGGCAGGAGATGGGAGGTGCTGGGATAGGGTGGTGATAATGACTCTGATTGTGGTTTCCAGGGTAGGTGTTAAGGAAGGCCTCACTTTGAAATTGGAGACCTCTGGTGTGATAGTTCAGAGGGTGAGGGCTTACTTGAGAGCCTACACAGCCCTTCCTGTGTCCTTGACTTAAATAGGGATGAAGGGGCACAATGAGATCAGTCTGATGCTCTTAAGGCACCTATTTTGGGGGAGGGTTTGTTATCAGGAGCACACAGCTCCCTGGGGCCCTGCCCATTCCTGCTGATCAAGGTATGAAAATCAAGACCATTTTATCCAAAGCACTGGGAGCTTGGGAAGCATAGAAGCTGAAAGAAAGGTGGTCTTACCCAGCTGGTTTTCATTTTAGTTCAGAATGCTGGAATTTTTACTGGGCACCAGGCCTCTCTGTTTTCCTAATTCTAGACCAGAGATGATATTCCATCTTAACATTATGTTTTATTCCTGCTTTCCCTTCACAGCCTCAGTGGGTTGGGCCGTAATATCATCCTCACCACCATGCCGGCAGGCACTAAGCTCATTGCTGGCAATAAACCTGTTAGTTTCCTCACAGCCCAGCAATTGCAACAGCTTCAGCAGCAAGGTCAGGCCACACAGGTAAGGTCTATGGCAAATTATTAGCCATACCAGGCTATTCTCTCTTTGCTCTTTGTTCTTAAATGATTAGCCTATTTGCAATCCAGTGACCACACATTCTAATATTTCAAACAGGTGCGCATCCAGACTGTCCCCGCATCTCATCTTCAACAGGGAACAGCTTCTGGTTCCTCCAAAGCTGTCTCAACTGTTGTTGTGACCACAGCTCCATCTCCTAAACAGGCACCAGAACAGCAGTGACTCTGAAGGAGAAAAATGGCTTCCATAAAAGCCCAGTCTGGGTCTGCCCTTCTGGCTGAATGGAAGGGAGCAGGGGAGGGTCGCATCATTCCCCTAAGCTTGTCTGTTTAAGGAAGGCAGCAGTGGGATGATAGCAACAGTGGCTTGGATTCTGCTGCCACACTCCACAGTGGAGTACGCTGAGCAAGGTTCACTCCAGGGTTCCAAGGTCCCTTCTGTATTGATCCAGGAGAAGTTTCTCTGTTAGAATTGTGTGAGGTCCCAGTCGAGTCACACAAGCCAAAGTTCTCTCCTGCAAGCAAGACCCCAAGGGAAGGCTTAAAGTTGTAGAGTGCACAGTGATAAGCCTCATTCTGTATGTGGACTGTACTCTTTAGCTCCTGGTCTTCTCCGGGACTAGAGGTCTGGATAGGAGTTTTGTGTCCAGAGATTTTTATGTAACTTATTTTTTTAAAAAACCTGTTGTATATCTTTATCAAATATAGAAACCTGGACTATAGTCCCGTCTCCTGTACCTCCCTATCCCCACCCCAAACTGATTACTTATTCTTTTGACCAGGGTGAGAGAATAGCACCATTCTTAGGCAGTTGGTGGCTGACTTGGAAACATATTAATGGAGAGACTCTAAGATAAGAAAGAAACATAGGAAGTGAGCTAGTGTGGGTTTTCTGAAACGGGATTAGTTTGGCACTACCTCCTAAAGATCGGTTATCAGGATCATGGATGTGGGCGGTCTCTTTGCCTGCCTTGTCCTGATCAAGCCGGTTTCACGTGCAGGTCCAGAGCCAATGGACAGTATAGGCGAATGCTTTATTGCAGTTCAGAGATAATATGTTCTACTTTGCTGCAGAGCAAGACTCAGCAAACCAGAGCCTTTGGGCTGGCTACTTGTTTTTGTAAATAAAGTTTTATTGGAACACAATCCACTTTCACTTGTTTACGTTGTATCTTTGACTGTTCTCAGAATGTGGAATTAAGTAATTGCCATGGGGACCGTATAGCCCCCCACCTTAGACTGAGTTCCAAGCCACTTAATCCTGCCTATTGCACCCTTCTCAGCCTCTATCAAGCTACATACATAGCTCAAAACAATTATTTTAAGGTGTAATAAGTAAGCGCTGGTTGACATAATGCCTCTTGTATTGGAGCAGGGGTTAAGTGGTAAGGTGACAGGGCTTCCCAGTCTTTCTTGAAAGTATCCAGGTTATTAAAAAAGGTGTGATTATTGTGTAGAAATTTAGTGATGCTCTTTTATGGGGCCTGGGTGAGGCAGTGGAGTCGGAGGGTAGAGAATTAAAATAGGCGGAGTTAGGTGATTAGGTATGCTTCAGAGAAACAGGCTAGAGTGACTTGTTAGTTCCATGGTGGTTTTAGACATCTCATTCTTTAGCAATTCTATAAAATATGCATTACCCCTGTTTTAACTGAGAAAATGCGAGTCTGAGTTGAAGTTAGTAGAGAACCAAGATGTAAATCCAGACTTCTAAAGTGCTGTTTCTGCTGCCTTCCTGAGGGGAGGATGGCTACTGCATGGCATGGTGAAATCTGAGAACAGTCCAGTTGTCAGCCCGCACTGCAAAGAGCAGTGGTGAATTGACTGAGATTTTGATGGGGAGAGGACTGGCACGGAAATAAGATTGGTAATGGTGAGAGGTAGGGACTGTAGGGAAGGAAGAATATTTTCTTCTTACTAAAGGAGAGTGCATCTGTGTTTCATAGTACTCCAATACTTGCATATAATTTCTGCAGTTACTTTTCACATGAAAGTCCACATGCCAGGTCCTAAATGAGAAAAAGGTAGAAATTTGAGGGACCTGTCCCAGGTATTTACTGCTGAGTAAAACAAACCTGTTGTGAATTAACATTTCTTAAAAGTAGCTCTAGCATTCAACCCTAGCCCCATACTTTCATTACTGAAGCCACCTAACTCTGCCTGGCTCCTTTAGGACATCTACATCCTAGGAGAACAGGCGTGTGGGACACAGGCATGTTTCAGGATACCAGTGTGGGACTGACTCCCTGCTAGTATGGTTTGGCACTGCCCTCTAGTGGGTGGAGTACTGTAAAATAACCTCCTACTGGAGTTGTAAAGAGATGTCACCAACATTGGTGTCAAATTTGGATTCTTGGATATAGACTTCAGGGTTCTTGGAGAGATGTGGTAGCTTTAGATGTGTTTTGGGGGAAACAATACCAGAATCATTTGTGGCAGCCTCTGAATCTTGTTTACAGAGTTTGGTAAAATATTCAGACCATGCATCTAATACTGGATTTGGTGAATAGCATTATGATGAATTTGTACTTTGATGCCACATCTAGCAGTGCTTATGCCAGGGTTGATCACTTCCAAGAAGGCAACAAAATCAGTGAGCGAGGCATCAAGATTTTAACATTTTCTATCTGATCATCACACATCAAACACTCATTCAGGAGAAGACACATTTCCTCAAAGTATTCTGCCTGCCCAGGCTCCCAAATCTAAAATGGAGATCTTTGCTATGAAAATAATTTGCTATGAAAATAATATCCAGTGCCTAAGGAAAGAATGAGTTTTACATTACTTGCCAATTCTCCATACTTGTTGAATGAGTGATTGGGTTTGTTCTTAGCAGGCACACCAAAGTGGGTCCTCAAAGGGGTCCCACAGGTTCTTCTCATAATTGGTGTTTTCAAGTAGCTCATTCTTAATCCCTAAATTGTGACTTCAACTCTGAAATACTGGCTAACCACAGGAGGTTACCTTTCACTAAAGTAAAATGTTTCTTCAAAAGATGATGCAGTGCTTCATGGAAGTCATCTCTTTATGCAAAGTAGCAAGAAATAAACTGGCTTTTGAATTCTACAGAGGACAGCTTTTACAGCTTGGTAGTGGTGTGACTTTAGGCCAATCAGCTTTTCTGAAGACCGTAATGTACTCATTACAGTGACTGAGAATCAAATGAGATTCAGAGTGAAAATGCTATACAAGTGAATGGTGCTGTTGGGTTCTAAGACCTTTCAATTTTGTTCTGACCCACTTCTAGCAACTTAAGAACCTAATATTTTTAACTCCCCAGGTTCTTTCATTGTTTTATTGCCTTATGCATACTCTTCTCTAGGCCTTCTCTATAGGCAGACTCATTTTTCCTCCCCATTTGTCTAGTGGTAATTGTCTCATGTCACTGCTGGCATTTCCCATTAGACTGAATTCCTTGCTGATCACATATTTCAGTAATCTTTACAACCATTTCAGTACTGGTGCAAAGTAGAGGTTTAATAAATATTTGTTGCAGTTAAAAAAAAAATCCAGTGCCCTAGAGTAGCATATCAAGACTTTGTGTTACTAGTTCAGGATTCATGATCTTTGCAGGATTCTTGTCCTTTACTCTCAGCTATATTTAAATTCAAAGACTTCCATAACCTGGCATTGTTCTCTACCTTGTTATTAGTGTGGTCCAGTGCTGTCACTTAAGCAGCAGTGGTACTGCGTTACTCTGGAATGGCATGATTAATAAGACAGCAGGCTCAAGGTAAAACTGAAAGCTACTTCAAGCCCCTCCCACCCAGCCTAGTGCAATTTGCAGTCTATTGCTACCCAGTACTTCACTGGCCAGGAGATGTATAACAATATTTAAAATACCAAAGCTTGTGACTTGTCTTTTAAAAAATACATGTTGGAATGTATCTCTAAAATAAAGGCACTGTCATTCACTCTGATAAGAAGGTTCCTGCTTTCTGGAGAGAAAAAGGATTATCAAAAGTGGTAAGTTCTGCAGGATTTATATCCTGGATTCATTCATGAGGCCACTTCCTGTGCTGAAACTTTCAGGGCCTTTGACTTCTCTTTACACCAAGACACAAAGGCTTCCTTCATTTTTCTTTATGGATACCACCCAATACAGACCCGTCAATTATGTGAGAAGACTCCAATACATAGATCCTTGAAAGCAGCATTCATGTGGAGAGAGATGTGCTGCACCTCTGGTCGCTATGCTCAGAGGGACAGATTGTCTGGTTCTGAGAATGGCTGATGATGCCTCTCATTCCTCATCTGAGCCATTCAAGAGGGCTTTCTGGTAAGTGTGTTTTGACGTCAGCTTCTGAATCCCAATGATTTCTCCTTCTCTCTGTCTCTTTAGCCGAGTCATAAAGCTGTCATAGAGAAACAATAAGCAAATTAACCTCAGGTTCCTCTCTTCCTGCATCCAAGAATGTGATGGCATTTTCTGGTTCTTTTTTTTTTTTTTAAAGATTTATTTATATATGAATACAAGAACTGGGGTACAGGCCAGAGGTGTGAAGGGTGAGATGATTCACCAGAGACAGCGGGGAATAGAACAGGCAGACTGCTGAGGGGAGCAGCAGGCAAGACAGGAGAGGTCTTGCTGCACCACATGTGTATCCCCCTGGCCGGGGATCGAACTCATGCTGCAGAGGCTGCAGATAGCTTCATAGTGCTGTGCTTAACACCTTGCGCCACCAGGGAGGCCCCATTTTCTGTTTCTTAAGGCATTTTATTTATAGCCATGTCAAATATCCGTCTACAAATCAAATATTGTCTCTACCTAAAGTTCTTGTCTAGGTATTTGACTTTTCAGACAATACCCATTAGTAAAGGGATCAGTAATACCTAATAGTTAATGTTGTCATGGAAACTAAATTTAGGTCTCTGCCTCCCAGCTTCTTATTTCGCTAACCTGGCAGTAGAACTAAAAGCAACTGATCCTGGGTTCCCTTTTATTTGTTTTGCATGGTACTCTTTCTGGGTGAAGTGTATCTGCTTTGGATAGGGAAATTGGGAACTAAAAGAAAAAAGGTAACTTGATAACAGCTATCAATACGATGTGCTAAAGGTCACTCTCACATTGGATAAAGACTGAGGCTGCATCATTTACTTGTTGGGTGACCTTGGTCAAGTTACTCAGTCTTTCCAAGCCTTGGGTTGTTCCCCATCTATAAAATATTACTGTACACACTTCATAAAGTGATAAGGATTAAGTGGGGTAATACACTTTAGTGCTTACCACAGTGCCTGGGACACAGTGCTTAGGAATTGTTAGCTATTATGATGGCCTCTGAAGATCGCATTGGGCAACACTGTCTTAACCTGTCACATATCTGAGAAATAGGCAGAATGGATCCTGGAAGAAGGTTATGGGCTCAAAATGAACCAGTGATGACAGGGACTGCAATCCAGTGCCAATGGCCTAGTTAAGGTTTTCCTATCCACCACAGGCTTAAGTCTGTCAGCTGCATTTGAACCTGAACCTGACTCCATTAGGTTTGTGTGACCACTCAGGTCTTTGAACTTCTCAGAGCCTCATCACCCTCATTTTCTGTGTGGAATACCTTGCATAGAACTAGGTATACAATTGGCACTCATTAAATGGTAGAAGCTAGCACTACTTAGTTATGAAACATGGAAATAAAAATCATGCATTATAGTGAATTTTGGGGCCAGGGGGTTAGGAGGAAAAATCTTGACATCAGTCAGCTTCTGTTGTACATACCAGTAAACAAGAGTGTAGCTGGCGGCCATAATGCAGATGGAGGCCAAGTAGTGCCAGCAGAAGCACATGGTGACGAACATGATGTTTCCGTCATCTTTCTGGTCCCATTCAGCCGATCCAAAAGGTGGAAATAGCACAAATCCAATCTGGTGGGTTAAAGAGAGAGGTGGGCATTGTCATGAGTCAGTCCTGAGACACAGCCCGACCTCCTCTGGCTGCCGAGGTGTCGATGCATCCCCCACTTCCTCCACTTCAGCCTGTATCTCCCTTAGCATAGAAAGTCCTTTTTGCACAGGAAAATTGTTCTAATTTTGATGATAGTATAGGGTTATATAAATCAATTTTAGGGCTCATATTTCAAGTTTATGGTGTTTAGCAAGTGGGGCCTGAACATGGTATCAGTAGCTTCATTGGGGAGGGCAAAGAAATAATCTGCTCACTGTATATGCTCCACAGATGGCACCTGTTAATGCATCAGCAGAATGGTAACAGGTAGAATGTCATAGGTCAGTTGGTAGGCAGAGGGGGAAAGCGGCCTCCAAACACACCAGTCCTGTGGTATGTTAGTGCTGCGTCTTCAGCACTCAGAAACACTCATGGGGCTCCTTTACACAGGTGAGGAGCATTGTTTTGAATAATTACCTGCCAGAACCAGGTACCCTGCAGAATAACAAGACTGGTTCGGAAAAGTTCCAGCACAATATTGTCCCGAAAGATTATCTCTAAGAGGCTACTGAAAGTCCCAGCAAAGATGGCATACAGCAGGAGCGAGTGGATGTGCTGGTCCAGTGGCGGGCGGTGGTGAACATGGTAGTAGAAGAGAAAACCTGCCACAAAGCACATGCAGCTGTCAGATCTGCTTATCTCTACTTGCAAGGATTCGTTCTAGACATTTCCCATTATTTAAATTTCCTCCTGTGCCTGTCTCAGAGCCATATTTTTCAACATTTAGGGTGTCCTTATATATAACATTACAGGATAGAAAATATATGCAGATCATTTCATATCTGTGCATTAGCTGAATATAAGCAGCAAAGGATATATCTTTTAAAATCTCTAAAATCCGTGGTAGGATTTGATACAGGGTTGCTAATTTGTACCAAATTATGCGTATATATACTTGAAATTCAGTTTTACCCTCATTTAACCTTTTTTCAGCTCTTCCAGATGTACAGAAGTGAGGCTGGTCAATCACAAAGAGCTTTTTCATTACCGCACTTAATGGGAGTTATATTGGGTGGTTGTGCTAGGTGCTGGGTGAGTCTCTTGAGATTTGTGATGGAGTCCAAACAGCATGCCAGGGTGAGGGGCAGGGACGCCAGATTTCTCTTCCTTATTGAAGAGTCATCCTCCTGCATGGTAGACAAGCCATCACATGTTTCCATGTGGATGTGCACATGTGTATTCATACATGTGAGCATGAGGAGGGATAACACTGGGAGGGCAGGGAGAGATAGCACACCATTAGCAGAGGCTTGGTTAGGCTAAAGGCCTGTTTTCATGTGCTGCTTTATGGAATAAACCTTCTGTAACATCCAGAGCAAAGAAACAAGCTCCTGTTTAGGTATGTGAAATTAAAAGATGTGGATTCTTAACTTCAAATTATTGGTTATTATATTTGCAGTGTTTCTGGGGTCTTGTGTACCCTGGTCCTGAATAGACATAACTTTTCAATCTGCTTCCTTTTTCTCCATCTGCCCACTAAGTTACCTTCATTGAAAGCTGCGACAGCCATAAACAGTTTGTCCAGCCCCAAGGGAATGTGGGTGCTGAGAAAGGTGAGCATGTCAATGATTCCCGAGACTGCAAAGAATATATACATGGTGCTGTGCTGCCAGTTCATTAGCTTTATCCAGTCATTTCCATGGTACAGGTGGAGGTGGGGCCCATCCGGAACAAACTGCTCTGCCAGGATCCCTGCAGGGAAAGGAGAGTGCAAACTGAGGAGGGATGAGTAGTCCAACACCTACAGGAGACAGCAAGAAGTAACCCCACGCCATGAACAAACTTGAGATGTGGGTAAAGGTGGACTGTGGCTCAGAGGACCTACTTTGTTGCCTGAGAGGCAGCTACTTCAGTATAAAATTAGGTATTTGCTGAGGAATCTGATAGACATCTTGCTTCTGTTGTTCTTTTAGAGAGGGTAGGGGGAAGCAATAGATAGTTGAGCATGTAGGATTCCCAGAAATGTGTCCAGTAGCTGAGATGAGAGCAAGGCATTATCACTAAAGTGAGTGTGGCTGCTACATTGATCTTTGGATTCCCTTTGCTAAGTGAGCAGTGAAAGAAATCCCAGGAAGAAAGAATTAGATTGAAAATAATAGAATCAGAGTAGAGAGCCTAGTGACCGAGGAACTTATGCATGCCTAAGGGAGAGTATGAGTTCCCAGTTGTGTGTCTTTCAGGGCAGACTTAGAGTGCGTACTTTTCCTGGGCACAGAGCAGACTCCCCACAGTTTTAGGTCTCTGTGGCCTAAACATTGGGACAAACATGTGAAAACCCTTCACCTTGGTGTTTCTGGCCATACGTTATCTCAGGAGAGGCAAGCTTTAGAAACTGGGGCCAGAAGACTGATGACTCATTGCCATAGCGTAGCTCTCAGATCTCACCTCTTGTACTTTCACCATCTCTTTTGGAAGGCAAAAGATGTTCTTTATGCCTGCTGCCCAAAATATTCTTAAGGCCTAGAATAAGTCCTCCATGCTAACCCAGTTCTGCATTTTTCCCCCTCAAACTAGCCCCTTTCTGACTCTTACATATCAAGGAGTTGGTGAAAATAAGGCAACAAGAGGAAGTTCCAGTGACACTTGGAATGGGAAGCAGAACTTCCCCCATTTCCTTCCCCAGTGCCTAGAAGAGTGAGTTCCTGGTGCATGGAAAGAGTACAAGAGATAATTGTTGAATATCATTTCCACCCAGCAAAGGAGGAGGTGTGTGTGAAACAATGTTTCTAGCTTTATTTACGTAATTTGATGTTGTCCTTAACATTTAAGACATGTGGTTCTTGTGACTTCTCAGAGTTATAGAGATAAGAATGCCTTTCTATGGCCTGAGTGGCTAGTGAATGGGAAATTCTGCTGGACAGGGAAAACAAGCCATGTGCCTTTGCTTAGAAGTTACTGGCTTTGCTTCATTTACTTCCAAGAAATGGTAGTGCAAAGATGACAAGGGGCAAATGCAATAGCAGAGCGAGGTCCCTCTTTACTCTCATGATGGCTGATCCTAAGAAGACTACTTTTTACTATTGGTTCTTCATGTTCCTTGAAGGCAACCAGTGGAGTAGGATGGCTAACAAGTTAACAATAGTAGTGGATAGATTTTCTTGGAATGGGGTAGACAGTAAAGGAAAATCCCTCTCAAATAGGACTCCTGGCTTTTTTCAGTCTTGTCTGCTGTCTATCTTGCTAGCCTTCTAGTATTCTAGTACAAACACTCTCTTGCCCCCTGACAATTGCTTGAGATTTGGATATTGAGGATTTGTTGGTGAGTTGGGTGATAACTGCTTTTGTGATTCTAGTGGAGAGACCATGAGGGCAAGGAGATTGTTCTAAAAATGAACTCCATTTAATACTGTCTTATAACTCATGTATATAACCTTACTCCAATTTGTACTTTTTAAAATGCTTTGTTTTATCATAAAGTGTGTCTTTATCATAAAGTGTGTCTTCCTTTTCTACAACTTGTGCCTGCAGATTTCCAGAGCCGAGAAAGCAGTTTATTTGGTAGTATGTAAGGTGCTGTATGTAAGGTGTTGTTCACTATTAATGTTACAAAACTTAGCACACAATGGATGCTATGATACAATATGTAATTTAGTGGCCAGTTGAAAATCTTTGTTCTCTGCTAGTGAAATATCCATTTCTTAGGGTCCAGAAGATGCATTAAAGATTCTGGGTATGAGGGGAAGATTCATGGGCCCAGATGACCCTTAGTCTTACCAGTGACTGAAAACAAAGTTCTGATGGCAGCCTCAATGATCTCCAGACGTCGATAATAATGAGTCGGTTGGCTGTGTTTTCCTTTTTGGTGAAAGTACTTTAATGGGTACTTCACTGACCACCACAGTCCAATTATCAAGAAGAAGCTCCCTGGGAGAGCATGGCCCTTGAAGTTTGCCATTACAGTTTTAGGACAACCTGATAAATTAGGGGACAGTTGTTAGGTGACTGAATATAAAAAACTTATTTGGCAGAAACACAATACGTGAGTCCAAATTGTAAGCCATATTAGGAAGGATCCATTTGTTCTCATAAAATAAGCTTTTATATAACATCACTAAAGTCTTGTCTGCTAAGTGAGTTGCATGCCTAAGGTTATTGGTCCCCAAGGCCTTGAAGACATAGATAAAGCTAAAAGAGGGAAACCAGGGCAGGCAAATATTTTTACTGGGTACATAGGATGGAAAAACCTTCCTAAACATTAAAGGGAACCATAAAAGAAAACTATTTCTTTAAGTAAGCATTTTATATATTAAAACCAACAATAAACAAGCAAACATCAAATCAGGAAAGTGTTTATAGCAACTATGATACATGGCTATTAATCACATTAGAGCCTTTACAAATTGTTAAGAAAGTGACCATGGAAGAATAGGCAAAAACATAAACAGACAAAATAATAGATATGTCTTACTGTAATTAAAGGTGTACAAATGAAAGCACAATACCACTTTTCACTCAATTTGAAAATAATTTGAAAAATTAATGTTGATGCAGCCCTCTAGTACAAATGAATATGATCAATATGATTCAAATTTGGTAAAAGTCAAAATAATTGTATAAACATATTATTCCAAAAAATATTTCAGGCATGATTTGCTTTCATCCCTTTTACAATAGCATGAGATTGTAGGATCAAATTTGTGAGTGTTAGATAGAATTTATTCAGAAGAAAAAGATTACCTAGGTGGTAATGTAAAGAATACAAAGAGTAGGAGAAAAAACAGCAGTTAATGATCTAGAAGATACCACCTAGGATCATAAAGGACTGGTGATTTGCATATCCTTTTCCAACCCTGCCTATCAGGGAGTCCCAATTAAAATCCCAGGAAGGACCTCCCCGATGGCCTAGGAGTTGTTTTAGCTCTCTCACCACTAAGGCCTGAGTTCAATCCCTGGCCAGGGATTTAAGCCACATGACAGAGCAGACCTCTCCTGTCTTGCCCCCTGCTCTCCTCAGGAGTGTATTTTAGTAGAGTCACCTGTTCTTCTCCCTACTCTATCTCTGAGGAATTCTCTCACCCCGACACCTCTGGCCCACACCCAGTTCTTTTACAAAATAAATAAATACTAAAATAATTTTTTTTAAATCCCAACAAATTATTTAATAGAAATTGACAAACCAATTCTAAATTTATATGGAGGGAAAAAAGGCCCAGAATAGACAACACAATAGTGAAGTAGAACAACAAAGCCGGAGGGCTGATGCTATCTGACTTGAAGATTTACTATAAGTTACAGTAGTCAAGAGAGTACAGTGTTGGCCAACAAGTAGACAAATAGATCAATGAGACACAGGAGCCTTCAAAAGTACATCCATGTAAATACGGTAACTGATCTTAGAGCAAAGGCAATACAGTGGGAGCTTTAAGGCCTTCAGCAAATGGTGTCTGCAAGGCCTGACATAGAGTAAGCATTCATATTTATGGGTTGAATGAATACTGATCCATGTGGTGTGTTATGGGTTATTTTTTCAACATTTGTATTTTATTCTGGAATTAATAGTTGCCTTGATTTTTATTCATTTAGTTTACCTTATACCCAATCATGTGTTTTTCCACACAAAAGCTAACAGATCTGTCAGATATCTATCAAGTTAATGTCTGGACGTTGTGATATGTCAGACTCATCAGTTCCATTTTATTCCTATAGCCCTTTCTTCCAGGACTTCCATTCTGCCCCCAGACTGGACTGGTTGTCTGTCATCCTGGCACATTTGGCACTATCTTCCAAATTTCCTTTGCCTTTTTCCTGCTTTGTATCCCCTATTTTTTGGATGCCATTTACCCCCCTTGATTTACTTCCATTAAAGTGCTTCTAATATTACCCAAATCATGCATAGAAAGTAGATTCTTTGAGAATCTGCATGACTGACAATTTCTGCCTTTAAAAATGGTTTATCCTATCCATTCATATTTAATGTAATTATTGATGTAGGTACACTTACAGCTGCCATTTTGTTATTTGTTTCTATGTTTTTGGGGTATTTTTTCTTTAAAGACTTCATTTTTTTTTTAAGAGTGTTAGGTCTATAGCAAAAATTGAGAGGAAGGTATAGAGATTTTTCATATACCCTCTGTGAAGTCACAAGTAAAGTCACAAGTATGTTCCTGATATGATTTGCCCATGGCCTTTGTGATAAAACAATCTCCCTCACTCCTATGACTCCAACCCCTCCCCCACTCCATGCACTCCTTAGATAAGACCTCCACAAAGCCTACCAAAGCAAAGTACCCAATCTTTTCATTTTGAATTGACCTCCCTCAGGGCATGTCATCAACCTCACCCAAGACCTATGAGTAATACATTTCTCTATTTCAGTTCTCCTGTAATCTTTTCTTGAACCATGGAGGCTCACCATCTGACATCTCAGAATGCTACTTAATAAGTGCTAATTTAACAGTCACAACAGTTTCTCAATTTGCTGCCTACCTTTGGTCAATTTCCAGTTCTCTGAAATGGTTGGTTTTGACAATTTTGTCTATTTTTACACAGTGCATTTTCATTTTATTTTTTTGCAAAGAGAAACTGCTTCTCTTTCCACTGACATTATGGCGCTCTCCTCATTCTTTAACTCCTCTGTTCAACATAAAAATACCTCCATTTTCATTTAATGTTTAACCTGGGTCCCTTTCAAGTTCAAGCTTGTTATACACCTTTGTTTTCCAAGCCAGAAGTGAAGAAAAACCAGCTTTGCAAATCCTCCCTGCCCTTCTCCATTTTCCTATGGAACATACATTAAATAAGAACAAAGTTCTTGTCATTCTCTACTTCCTCTGTGTATTCAAAGTATTCCCTTCCCTGCACTGATGTGAAATTCACATCAGTAGATAGTAACACCATGACTGGAGAAATTACTTTTAAATTTGTTTTGGCCACTTGGATAGCTGCGCACCTTAATTTGATAGGGGAGAGGTGCAGAAGAGGTAGTTTTCTTCCATTAAAAATTAATAGGGCCTCCCTGGTGGCCCAGGGGTTAAGTCTCAGCACTGTCACCTCTATGGCCTGAGTTCAATCCCTGGCCAGGGAACTAACCCACATAAGGTGCAGCAGCAGACCTCTTCTGTCTCACCCTCTGCTCCCCTCAGCAGTGTATTTCAGTAGATCTGCCTGTTCTGCTTCCCATTCTGCCTCTGGTGAATCCTCTCACACACCCCCTACAACACCACCCCCGCACCTCTGGCCTACACCCCAGTTCTTGTATACATAAATAAATCCTTAAATGAAAAAAATCAATAGACAAGTTTACTAGATTACTTATAGAACATTATATTATAGAACACATAGTAGAGAAAGAGCATGGGTCAGTCTAGATTTTAAAAATAATTTAGAAAATATTAAATAAAAAATATGATATTTAAGGGATGAGTTTCCTCGTAGACACAAATAGTGTAGCCATTACACTATATTTCAAAGAGAACCTTCAGGTAGCAAACAACAGGGTACTTTCACAAAGATGGATTCCCTAACTTTAATCTCTTTTTGATATCACATTACATGGGACTGGGGTGTGCAGGGAAGAGGAAATGTTTTGGCAAGGCGGTAGTAGTTTTAAGACTAGCAACCAAGAAGGCTAGAGGTTTGGGCAACTTTTCATGTGCGGGGAGATCACTGGAAGAGGAATATAATTTGAGTAAGAAGTTTGAACTACCTGCCTTGTTTTTAATCATTTTCTCTAATCTACATATTCATTTTTATTTGAGGTATTTGAAATGGAAGATAAGGTAGACATGTCAGGAAGAGAAGAAGGTAAAAAGGAGCAGGGACACAAGATAAAAGGAGAGTCTCAGATGAAGAGAAAGGAAATAAAATGAAAATTATACTTAATGACATGTACCGGTGGTTAAAGTATATGCGGGAGCCTGGCAAGATGGTGGCTAAGCCAAGACACCAGGCTTGCCTCTTTCACATATTCAAAACCAACGCACAATGAACCAAAGGCAACAACCCCTGAAAGGTAAATGAATGACTATCACATACAACGGGAACAACTGTGCAGCAGGCAGGGCTAGGAGAAACTAAACTGTGTTTATAGTGATACTGGTGCGATGTTAACACACTAGATGGAGTGGTGGCTACTAAAGGGAGCCCCTCGGCTGTTGTTGACTCAGGGGCACATGCCCATACCAGAGACTTTAGCGGCCTGGCCCTGCGCATTGAAGGGGTAGACAGAGTTGGCGTGTAGGATAGAGGACACAGTACTGGAGAAGTATAGTAACAGCAGCACAGAGTGATGATGACTAGCTTGAGCCTGACTGCTGCTCTAAAACAGCTGGAGCCTGATCTGGTGGGAGAACCAGAATCGATCACTTGTGTCTCCTTATTGAAGGAGCTATTATTTGCAGCATTAGGCAAGGATACTCAAAACACCTGCCTTATCCCTACCCAGCCTCAAAGCTGAAACAATGAAATGCTCTCACTAGCAGAGCTTGAGCACCTAGAATAGATTTTAGTAACAGGAGCAAATGCCCCAGGGTAAGGCTCCATTCTCAAAAGCCAGACCTTGACTTGTAGTCTTGTTTCAACGATAGTCCATTTTTGAGAGCTACATCTAGGCTCAAAATACCCTAGATGCTGAGGCTGGCAAGAAATTACAAGAGACATTTTGGCTGAGGAGTTGGTCCAGGTGAATGGATCACTGGATCGTCACCATACAACTTGGCTACCTGCAGCATTGTAGGAAGCTTGAAACCTTGATGCTCACTGGGGGTGAACTTTTGGGGTCCTACTGCCCCAGTTACTTCTACCTACTGCTCCTTACTGACACTAGTGCTGTAGCCATCAGAACAGGTACAAAGGCAAAAAATAAAAGTACAAATAATTTTTCTTTAAATGTAACAAAAGTTACAGATGGACTTCATGTTATGACAAAGGGCCTAATACAATATATGCACCAAAGAATGGGACACCAAGTACAT